AGAATTGCTAGTGTCGGTAGAGATGGTAGACACAGGACGCAAACCTCGGAGAACAAAGTTTTTGTTGGAGGACGACTGCTCGGGACCAAACCACGAGTCGGCATCGGCAGATATGCGGGAAGAGTCGCCGCTGGACAAGAACGAGTCTCGTTGACTGTCTTGACCGCCAAACAACGAGTCATCGACCACCTTGGATCGGCTGACGTCAAAGATCGAGTCTTGCACCATCTTGGCTTGGGTAGCGTCAAAGAGACTGTCCCATGAGGCTGTCCTCTGGTGAGAAGTGTTTGCCTTGGCCTCATCAGGAGGCGAACCGGTGATGGACGTAAGCTTGACCCCGCCGTCGAGGTTGGTAAACATCCTATCACCAAGACCCGGCCTAACGATCTGAGAGACAGATACGTTTGAAGAGGTGCTGGCGACGGAAGAAGTGTTTCGACGGTGAGCAGCCCAGTCGGGTCGGCCAAACGAGCTCTCGCCAGACATGCCCCGGCGGTGTCGGCTGACATACGATGACCGGTTCTTGTTGTGCATACTGACGGGAGGACCACCGTGAATGACGTTGTGCATATCGACGCCACCGACGGAGTCGACAGAAGCGATGGAAGAGTTGCGGCGGTGGTGCGAGCGGCGAGTAGTAGGACGAGTATTGAGCTGAGCGCCAAACTTGAAGTTGGCCATAGCCTGTCGAGAAGGTGATCTCTCCGGCAACTCGTCGATGATTTCCTCGACAGTGTCGGTGACAGAAGGCGCGCGCGAATGAGACTGTTGCTGGGGAACAGCATAGTCGAAATAGTTGGTGTACTCACGCTCAGTGCCGACGCCAATGACAGAGCCAATGCTCGACATCGTAGCCACACTCGATTGTCCTCGCCTGTGGGTAGGAGCGAAAGCACTGGGCACGGCAGGCAAAGCAGGGAGCTCTTCGGGAAGAGCGGGCTCGGGTGCACCGAAAGCGGCAACACTCGCCTTCGTGCGCATATTCATCTGCTGCTGGAAAGAGACTTGACCCTTGAAAGGCTCTCGGCGGACGGGGCTGGTCTTGGCGATACCCATCACATGGTGAATCTCGGCAGTCTCCTCCAAGCCCTCATCGTCGCCAAACGCTTCATCTTCGTCATCCTCCTCGCCGTCCGAATCGTCATCATAGACGTTATCGAGGGACGTGCCGTCAGAAGGCTTTTGGATATGGAACGAAGGGACCTGCTCAGTCGGAGAGACCATGAGGGTCTCGTGAGAAGGAATCGGCAAAGGCGGAAGGTCTCCACCCATAAACATTTGCACGCTCCCAACCTTCCTCAAAGCCTCAACGAAAGAGTGACGTTGAGTACCCTGGTCCAAAGCCTGATACTCGCTCGTAAAGTCGAACGTGTCACGGTGCTGATCATGAGGCCCAGCGATGAGCATGTCGCTAAACATAGAGTCGCGGTTGTTGTACTCGGCCGTGGCTTCGGGCACAGGGGTGCTTTGCTCGAGCTCGGGCAGCCCGACCTTGGGCACGGGAGGTAGAGACAATGCAGGGGGCGCAAAGCCAGTGCGTCGAGGGGTGACACGGTTCTGCGGCGGAGCAGCAGGAAGGCCCAATTTGGCAGTCTTGTTGGGAGAGTACTGCGCCTTTGCGGCGTCGGTGTTGGCAACGACCGGCTTGAGGTCGAAAGGTAGGTCGGAGCCGTCGCTGACCTTGGCGGTGGGCTCGGTGCGGTGGCGGAAGAAGTTGATACCCATACCGACAGTCTCGTCGTTGATCTTGGCCGACGAGAGGACCACAGGAGTAAGCATAGGTCGCTCAGCCTCATTGGCCACGGGGGAAGGAGGAGCAAAGATGTTGCGCATACCCTTCCTGACCAAACTCTGCCTGGGAGGTGAAGGCGTAGGAGCCATGGTCTCGGCTGGGTTCTCAGCAAGCTCGGGAGCCTTCCTGAACTTGAGACTGTTTGCAGCAGCTTGCGATCGGTTCAAAGCCAGTTTGAGCGGGCTAATGTTAGCCGAAGAAGGCTTGAGCGAGTTCGAGCTCGGGCGACCGAGCATGGCAGAACGGACTTTGCGGAGCGGGGTAGGGCTCCCGTTGAAGTCGGCTCGGAGAGTGTTGCTTGAAGACATGTGGTGCAACGTGGGGCTTCTGCTGGACGCAGGAGAAAAGTCGAAAGCGTGGACAAGATTGAGGAGCTTGTCAGTGGCTGAGGTGACTCTTCGAATACCACCTGAACTCGTTAGCTCCGTTCTATCAGGATCCACTGTACTCACCTTGATTCTGGGGCACCTCGGCTCTAGCAGCCATGTTCAGAGGGAGAGAACCAAATCTACAAGTAAAGACATCGGCCTTTGGCGTAGGGATTTTGGGAGCTTGCTTGGAAACGAAAGATGCGGTCTTGGCGGGGCCAGCTGGCTCTGCAGCATCCTCCGTCTCCTCCTTCAAGGACCTCAAAGTAGGCTGGCCCATCATGCGGGGAGGCGACGAAGCAGCACGGCCAGGCGAAGAAGAAGCTTTGAGCTTGTCCGTGCTTTTCCTGCTGCCAAGCCCAAATAAGCCGGTGAGGGACTTGCGCTTGGGAAGACGGGTGGGGCCCATGAGTGCTTCGATGGCTTGTCGAGGTCCGTCGGTGGAAGGACGGTCGTGGGTAGAGCCAACGACGCTTTCGTAGATGACGGTGCTCTCCTCGGATTGGAGACCAGAGAAGGTCGAACCGCTTCGAGCCGTGGCTTTGATGGCGGGGACAGGCACTCGCGAGGTTCGCAAAGAAGAGTAGTTGGTACGCGCAGTAGCAGAAGCATACTTTTCGTCCATCTTGCTGACGAGAGACGTGGTAGACTGTGCGGGACCTGTATCGCGTCAGTCATGCCTCATGCAAAATAGACTGTACTCACCAGAAGACTGGGCCCAAGATTCCTTGGTAGGCAGAGCCGGCACAGGAGGGGCTGCCTCCACGGGCGCCTTGCTCTTCTTCGACTTGCTTCTTCCAAGTAAACCCCATACCTTGCTCTTTGTCTTTTCCTTCTTCAACGTCTTCTTTGGTGCTTCCACCACCACCGTGGGGGGAGCTTCGGGCACTTCAGGCAAGGGCGCAAAGACAAGAGGCGCACTGCCGAGAGCGCGGCCGAGAGAAGTGGGCGCGGGAGGAAGGTCGGATGCGATGTGAGGCGGCAACGGCGCCGAGACGTGGCGCTGTTGCTGGGTAGCACGTATTGTTGTCATATGAGGAGGCCTATGCACAATCAGTTGAACCCCTTTTGTTATATGCGAGACTCACCTCTCCTGGACCTCCTTTGAATGCCTCTCATCGCTGACGGTCTTGTGAGACAAAGCCTTACTCGACGCCACACTCGACCTCCTATCCATCGGCGTCTGGCTCCTCAAAGAAGGCGTACCGTGCCTAAACACGTTGTCTACCACCTCTGCTCCGACATCGGCCCGCATAAAGGGGTCATCGCTCATGCTAGGCCTCGAAGGCATAACAGGCTCGGCAGGACGGAGAGAGATGGAGGTGTAAGTAGATTTGGTGGAAGGAGGCCGGTTGGCCTTCCTAAGCATGGTGGATGATGCCCTGGGGGTGGGGCCGTGGTTAATAGGCTTGGAAGCAGGGGTGGGGGCAGGAGAAGTAATGGGTTGGGTGTTGGTGTTGTGGCCCCAGCCAAAAAGCTCGGCCAAAGCCTTGCGGGGCTTGTTCTTGTTTTTGAGCTTGGACTTGGTCCCCGCGTCAGTGTCCAAAGCAGATTTGGGGACACGGAGCGAAGGAGACATGCTCTGGGGGTGGCTGACGGAAGGCTCGGCAGATACTCGACCCTTGGTAGGGCGGTCTCTGATGGGCGACTTGTGGAAGAGCGCAGAAGGAATCTTGCGCAAGGATGCCTTGAAACCTCCGTTGTGGGAAGCAGCTGGCTGATTGGGGGCGAGATAGTGGGAGTGACGGGTATGGTTGTTGGGAGAGAGAAGGGAGGGAGTCATGATGGTGACGTTATATATGGGCGTGGCGCGGTCGTGATGAGACTGACTGTTTGGGAAGTACGGCGACTAGGTAAAGTCACGCGCGTGGTTTAGGAAGGGGGTCGCACAGTCGTCGGGTCGTATTGTCGTTGGGTCGTAAAGAGAGTCGTAAAGTCGTATCAAGCAGTCCTAGGCACTCAAATCATGAATCGCACAGTAGGGGCAAAAGACATGAAGAGAAGGAGGATGGAGATAGGAATGGGATACGGCAAACAACGCGAAGTTGAGCGATGGGTCTACGCTTCCGAAAGGGGCAAGACGGAAGGCGCGGAGTGGGGAGTGTGTTGGCAGAGGATAGTCTGCAGGAGATCGCTGAGGGGGGAGGCGGTGAGATGTGTTTGGTGGCTGTGTGTGGGTATAGTCGTGATAGTAAGAGTCGTTACTTGTCGTTAATCGTCCACCCGAGAACCCAGCCGTCGTACAAGTCACAGTCGTAAAGTCGTAAAGATCGTGATGAGGAGGAAGAGGGAGGGGATAGAATGTGCTTCGTGGTGCAGCAAACATGATGCACGCTCAGACCCACCGTAGAGAATGTCGTCCAACGGGCCACAGCGCAAGGTCCTTCGCTTCGGCGGGCCATGGGGTGATGGTGCACCCCGTCACTTGGAGATCAGAGTGGTACATGGGAAGCTCAGCTGGGCGCTGGTGACTGGTGACTGGGAGTCAGTATGGCGCTGTACCCACTCTAGACGCGTCTGCTATGTGGTTGACTTTGTCTTTGCATCGCTGGACGCGTCGAGGCACCGTGTTTGGGATTTGTGAAACGGTGCGTAGCGGGGTGTTTCAGGCATGTTCCAGAAGCCGCTTTGGGCCGTTGTGTAGCAACACATCCACTACGAAATTAAAGCACAGCAGCTCAGGCCGAAGTGGTGTCGTTCCGTCGGAGTGGAGGCGTTAGTGACGTACTCAGCCACGGCGTCCTTGTTCGTTGGGCTCGCCATTTCGCGCCATCTTCCCTCTGCATACATACGCTACTGGCAAGCTGTGGGCCTCGTAGGCCTCGTAGACGCATCCCGAGCAGAATGCATCTCTCTTTTGCATCTATACAATCCTCTTACAATTTGCACCCATACTTGACCTTTCATCTCGGTTGACGCCTCAATGACGCCTATGGACCACGTTCCTTGTCTGGCTGGCCACAGTCAGACTCAGCAGTCACCCTTCCTGCTTCCTTCGAGCTACCGCATTCCCCTATCACCTCGCCCCTCGTGCTCCCCATCCCGCGGCATGCCGTTGGCTGCAGCGGCATGCCGCTGCATACCCTCGCTGCCTCGGCGATACCCGTGTGCCTGGAAAGTCAGCTTTTTCCAGAGCGCGATGGGCAACTGTCGGGCATCGTCCGGCTGCCGGCGGGCTCATACAAATATGCTCCATGCGGGACAAGAGATGACCGACCTTGGTGCTGGAATCGTAGATCGCTGACGAAGCGTCTCTTTTCCCCAACTACTTCTGACCCCAACTTGTCTTCTTTCTTTACTTATCTCTCACTGGTCATAGCCTTATCATCGTCGCGTACGAGCAGGGTGGCAACATCGACCATCACCCCGCGTGCCCCCGAGCAACATCACAACACGCAATGTCAAACCACGCCTCGACATCAGCAACCGCCAATGCAGCCCCCTCGCCCCCAAGCCTATCCACCACAGTAGCAGGGAGCGTGAAAAAGGATGACGATCTCGAGTTCAAGGGCCAGAAAGAGGTAGAGACGGATGGCGTCAAGAGAACAGTCCAGGTAGTACTCGATCAGAAGAGCGGGAAGGAGCTTTTGAAGGATGTCGAAAAGGACCAGCAGTATACACAACCTCGGTGGTGGGTATTTGTATTTTCGGCCATTGACCATCGCTCACCCCTTCTAGGCGGCACTCTCTACCATTTGTCAAGCCAGCGCACCCTCCTCCACCAGCCCCCCTCTCCCTCGACGACGCCAAAGTCACCCCAGAGGTCGATGCCAACTGGTTCGACTTCCTCTTTTTCAACTGGATTTCGCCGATGATGGCTTTGGGCTCTGCCCGGCCGCTTCAGGATACCGATCTTTGGAAGATGGACAACGGGAGGAGTGCCGAGACGTTCTCGAGGAAGCTTTTGACTGCTTATAAGCAACGGACAGAGAGGGCGAACGAGTACAATGCGCATATACTTGAAGCACCGATCCCGAGGTCAAAACGCATTCTCTACTCTGTCCTTCCCAATGGTGAGAAGCGGGAAAAGGCATACAGAGAGAAGCTACAGAAGAAGCGTGCCTCCCTGCTCATGTCTCTCTACGACACCTTTGGCTGGTTCTACATGTCTTCGGGTGTCATCAAAATGTTTGGCGATACTTGTCAAGCTGTGACGCCCCTCCTGATCCGGAAACTCATCAGCTGGTCGTCAGAGTATCAGGCAAAGAAGAAGGCGGGGCTGGATCTGCCTTCGAGAGGGGATGGTGTGGGCGCTGCTATCGGCCTGCTTCTGCTGCTCGTTGCGAGCAGTGTGTGTCAGCATCACTACTTTTATCGTGAGTCCTTTTACTTTCTTTGTACTCAAGCCTGACACGTCGCAGGATCTATGGCTGTTGGTGTCTATGCCAGAACAGCAATCGTCACTGGTATATATCAGCGCGCTCTCCAGTTTACACAGAAATCGCGCGGTCAAATACCAAACGGAAAACTTGTCAACCACATCTCGACCGATACGAGTCGTATCGATTTCGCTGCGGGATATGCTCATATCTTGTGGACCGCGCCTGTACAGATGATCATCATCATCAGTGAGTTCACTGTTCTGACCAGTGACTAGGCTGACCCGGCTTAGTCATCTTGATCGTCCAAATAGGATACTCTGCTCTTCCTGGTATCGCCTTCTTGCTCATCATGACCCCGTTACAAGCGCGCTTCATGAAGACTCTCTTTGCTTTCCGTATGAAGGCTGCCAAATGGACAGACAAGAGGTAAACATGACTTTCATCACCCTTGCACTCTTGCTGACCTATCACAGAGCCAAGCTGCTCCAAGAAATCCTCGGCGGCATGCGTATCGTCAAATACATGGCCTGGGAATTCCCCTTTCTCGAACGCATCAACTCGATTCGAACTATGGAACTCCGCTACATCCGTCTCCTCCTCATCTTCCGCTCCGGCATGATGGCATTCGCCATCTCCCTCCCCATCCTCGCCGCCATCCTCTCTTTCGTCACCTACTCTCTCTCCGCCCACAACCTCGAAGCAGCCAAGATCTTTACTGTGGTCACCCTCTTCCAGATCATGCGCATGCCGCTCATGATGTGGCCCATGACGCTTAGTGCGAGTGCAGATGCGCTCAATGCGCTGAAGCGATTGGAAGCGGTGTTTGAGGCGGAGGTGGTTACGGAGGAGAGGAGAGTAGAGGGGGATATGAAGGAGGGGATCAAGTTGGAGCATGCGTCTTTTACGTGGGATGCGGCGCCGGTGGATGATGAGACGGCGATGATGAAGCAGGCAAAGGGAAAGCATGCCAAGGCTATTGGTGGTAAAGCTCAAACTGCCCCGGTCAAGAAGGAGAAGAAGAGGATGAGGTGGAGCAAGAAGATGAAGAAGGTCACTGTGGCGGATGAAGTGCAGGCTGAAGCGGCTGGGGAGAAGGACGGGATGGGCGAGGCGGGGGCTGTGGGACAAGGTCAAAGTGCACCTGGAGCGCCCGGGTTGGATGAAAAGGCAGAGGCAAAAGACGACAAGGCTATATTCCACCTCGACGATATCACTCTTAGTGTTCCAAAGGGTTCCCTTACTGCTATCGTTGGGCCCATCGGATCCGGAAAGTCGAGTCTGCTGCAGGGACTCATGGGAGGTGAGTATTGCATTTGAGTATCATTGCCGAGTACTGACAGATGTGCAGAAATGCGAAAGACCTCTGGTACGGTAACTTTTTCTGGTTCAACTGCCCTTTGCGCTCAGACCCCTTGGATCCAGAACTCTACCGTGCGAGAGGTGAGTGCTTGGTCTTCCATCTCGGACAAGTACTGACCGACCGCAGAATATCCTGTTTGGCCAGCCCTACGACGAAAAACGCTACTGGGACGCCATACGCGACTCTTGCCTCGAATCTGACCTCGAGCTCCTCGAAGACGGCGATGGCACCCAAATCGGCGAGAAGGGTATCAACCTCTCTGGAGGTCAGAAGCAGCGAGTCAACATTGCCCGTGCCATCTACTTTGACGCCGACATCATTGCTCTGGACGACCCTCTCTCCGCTCTCGATGCCGGTGTCGGCAAAGCCATCTTTTTCAACGCCATCGTTGGCGCTCTCGGCGACAAGACCCGTGTGCTCGTGACCCACGCCCTGCATTTCCTGCCTTACGTCGACAATATCATCATGATGGAAGACGGCAAAATCGGACAAATTGGGACTTATCAAGAACTCAAACATGGTGATGGCCCGTTCGCGAGATTGATTCAAGATTTCGGTGGAGAGGACAAGGCGGAGGAAGATCTGGAGACGGAGCAAGATGCTATGGAGAATGCTGGCTCCAAGGATGTCCACGACAGGTCCAACATGGTCACCAAAGGCAAGGCGCACGAGCTCATGCAAGCCGAAGAGAGGAATACGGGTGGTCTGCAGAATGGCACCTTCTTTGGTTATCTCAAGGCCGGGCGCGGTGTCATCCTGGTACCCACCCTTCTCTTTGCTGTCGCCCTTGCTCAAGCTTTCACTGTCATCACTTCCTTCTGGCTGGTATGGTGGGAAGAGCGCAAGTGGCCCCAGTCCAATGGGTTCTACATGGGCATCTATGCAGGGCTCGGTATCGGTACTGCTCTGGCGACCTTTTTCCAGGGTTTCGCCAACGCTACGATCAACTATTTCGCTTCCGTTCGCATCCATGATAACGCCATTCGCCGGGTCATGTTTGCACCTCAAGCCTTCTTCGACACCACTCCTCTGGGGCGTATCATGAACCGTTTCTCAAAGGACACGGACACAATCGACAATACATTGTCTGATGCCATGCGAATGGCTGTGGCCACTCTCTCGAGTATTATCGGTGCCGTCATCCTTTTGGCCATCATCGAGCCATACTTTCTCATCGCTGTCGGGGTCGTCTCTCTCCTCTACGCGCATAACGCCATGTTTTACCGCCGGAGCTCGCGAGAGTTCAAGCGTATCGACTCCATCTTGCGATCATCTCTCTATTCGCACTTTTCCGAGTCTCTTTCCGGCGTCGCGACTATCCGTTCTTATGGGGAGACCGACAGGTTCTACAGAGATAACATCCGCTTTATGGATACCGAGAACCGCGCTTACTACATGACCATCATCAATCAGCGATGGCTCGGTCTACGTCTCGACATGCTCGGTTCGCTCCTGTCCTTCTCTGTTGCCATCATCGTGGTATGCTCTGACATCTCTGCCTCCTCAGGCGGCCTTGGTCTGTCTACCATCGTTACGGTGCAGCAGTCCTTTTCTTGGCTCATCAGGCAGATCGCCGAGGTTGAGAACGACATGGTTGGGGCAGAGCGTATCATGCATTACGCCACTCACCTCGAGCAAGAGCAGCCTCATCAGATCGAAGAGACGAAACCTGCTATCGAGTGGCCTTCTGAGGGCAAGATCGACTTCAAGGATGTACGCATGCGATACCGGCCCGAGCTGCCTGATGTTCTGAAAGGGCTATCGATGAGCGTTGGCGCGTCGGAGAAGATTGGTGTGGTCGGGAGGACGGGTGCGGGCAAGAGTTCGATCATGGTGGCGCTTTTCCGAATGTCGGAGCTTTCTCAAGGGTCCATCACCATCGATGGCGTCGATCTGAGCAAGATCGGACTGAACGACCTCCGTTCTGGCATCTCTATCATTCCCCAAGACCCTCTCCTGTTTAGCGGCACGTTGAGGTCCAACGTTGATCCCTTTGGCACCAAAACGGATGCCGAGCTATACGACACCCTCCGTCGAGCCCACCTCATCACCTCTTCTCCTGGTGGCACTGTCTCCGACTCGAGTCGGTTCACCCTCGATACGGTGATTGAGGAGGAAGGCGGCAACTTGTCGGTGGGTGAAAGGTCACTCGTGTCCCTCGCTCGAGCGTTGGTGAGAGATACAAAAGTGTTGGTGCTGGATGAGGCCACAGCTAGCGTTGATCTGGAGACGGATGCGAAAATCCAAGAGACTATCAGAAATGAGTTCAAAGACAGGACGCTGTTGTGCATTGCGCATAGGCTGAAGACGATCTTGTCTTACGATAGAATCTTGGTGATGAGTGATGGTCAAGTTGCTGTGAGTTGGTTCTGGTGCTTGATGACTTTCAAGCTGACAGACTGTAAAGGAATTTGACACTCCTGAGAATCTCTTCCTGATGAACGGCGCGTTCACCGAGATGTGTGGGAAGGCTAGTATCTCGTTGGGAGACATCAGGGTACGCACTCATGCAGGCTCTCATCATGGCATACTTTACTGACCGGTATTGCAGACTGCCGCTGGGATCCGTTTCTAGATATCATGTTCACGTTTTGTACCGGCGTCGCCTTATGAGGCGTAACCGTGTCAGTCGGTTCTACATCTTTATACAGGTCGTTATAATATCTACATACTGTACAATATGCATGTCAACCAACACCAGTGTGCTACATTCCATGCCATGCTATGGGTGCAGTCTATCGGGCGCCGTGAGATCCACTCTGTTGCAATTTTGGAACAGAAGCAGAAGCAAGAGATGATAGATTTGGCGCGTCTGACGCGTTCTCGCGAACGTTCCTGAGTCCCCGCTGGCCGGATCACGATTGCGTCAAGGACTCGTCTTGCTCTTGCAAGTCGCCGTTCATGCACCGGCCGCAGGTACTCCATCGACAGCAGTACAGACCAGCATACGAGGTCCCAGGTCAATACAAGACTCAGCACCATGTTCACGCCCCTCTCAAAGGGCTCTGAAAGAGCTCAAGACAAGCTGTGGGGTGCGTTCCCTATCTATCTGACCTCACTCATAGACTCACTCTGTCTCTTCCAGATAAATCGTCCCCTCGAAGGACCAGAGTCAGGCCATCGCTCCCAAATGTAATGACCACAGCAACAGTCCAAGGGCAAAAGAGCTCGGACCCGTCCTCAAGACAAGCGCCATGGGCGAAACTACGGGGCAAACCACCACCCGGAGGGAAGAACAAGGGCAAGGGCAGGGAAACCTCTGGCCTATTAGGAACCCCTGATCCAAGTGCGGTAGCTACGGGCGTGGGCATCGGCTCGTCAAGTGCTGCGGCCATGGGAGCGTCTGCGGGGAGTATCGGACGGTCAGGCGGCGAGATGTCTGGCACTATTCGACGGGGCTTGCCATATCTTGCACCCACGTCTCCTTATTCTACGCCGTCAGGCAACTCGGCATCGTCTCCGTGGTATCCAACAGTAACCAAATCAAAAAGCCAAAGTCAGATCACCCCTTCTCGGCGTCGACCACCACGGCCTCGGCGCATCAGCTCTGAGGGCCAAGATGAAGAAGAGGACACCTGGGCAAGTATGTTCCTGAATCCCAGTGCGAAGAGGGTAGAAGGCTGGATGGATAACTTATGGAAACGGCATTTCGTCTTGGTGATACTGCCATGCCTGGCTGTGAGTTACGGCGTGGGATCGCACGAGCTTTGTTGACATGGCCTCAGGTCTGGGTCTGGGTAGCTGTTCCGTTTCCAGTATCAGATCCCTACAAAGACAATCCATTTCCAGATATACCAAGTTGGCCAAAGAAGCCCAGTGACGATGGTGAGGACTCGGGAAACGACGGCGAAACAGAGACTCGTTTGCCCCTTGATGTAAACTTTTACTTCTTCTTGTTTTGGTAAGCCTGGCTGATCTTCTCATGATGACTGGTAAGCTGACCATCCTCATTACAGGTATTTTGGGTACGGCTTCGCTATGAACGACGCTCGTGTGGTCCATGTGCTGACTGTCTTGTAGCATGTATCTTGCAGCAGCCCTGCTATTCATCACCAACCTTTTCTCTCTCTATCGTCTGAGTAAGCTCTTTCAGCCTGAAAGCGACTGACATGTCCCACTAACACATTTTGTAGACTGGTGGCCTTCGAAGCTGGGCGGTAAACTCTCATATGCCCTGTCTTGGTCCATCACACTCGCCATTGGTCTCGCAGCGCACCATCTGGATTTCTTCTACTTGCGTAAAAGATGGGACGGAAGAGAACGGGACGATGTCGACTGGGAAAGAAAGAGCAAGTGAACTCTCTCGCGTTTCAACCCTGACTGACGGCGTCATCTATAGCATTCTGGGTTGGCCTCAGCTTCCTGGCAATGTTGCTCCCAGCGATAGCTTGTTTCTCCAAGCTCAAACGCGACAAGCGACATACCTACCGACACCCTATTCCGGCTGTGTATCAGACTTTCTTTGGCCAAGCCTTTTCAAGAAGATTCCCTGCATCTTGGAACCGATTTCTGTGGTTCATGGCATGTCTGATGATCGCTTGCTTCTCAGTCGTCGCGGGGCAGGGTGAGTTCTCTTGGCTGCGAACATCGATCGGGGGAAGCTAATAGAGCGTTAGCATACGCAAGTCTGTTCTTGAGTACCCTGCCTCATACGTCGCTTGATGCTGGTACATGGGTCTGGTCATGGGTCATCAGTGCGTCTTACTCCCTCTACCCTGACGTATGCCTAACAATTCTCTCAGCTGTCCAAATCCTGGGACAAATATCCATTTTCATCCTCAGCGCCAAGGTACGCTCCCGAGCACTCCTCTTCATCTACCGACTTTTCTTCCAATTGGTCTACCACGTCTTCTACCGCAACCTCTTTGCCCGTCTCCGATCCCCTCAGCAATTCGCCACTGTGCAGATGCTATCCTCCATTTCTACAATCATCATCTTTCCCGTGCAAATGTCGAAACCCTGGCACAGAATGCTTCAGATAGTGGTCGGGTATCCAAACCCATGGGAAGATCATGTTGAAAGTGTAGCGATGGGATTTTTCTGCAGAGGACTGGCGCAAAATGTGACGATGGTAGGGTTTTTGGGATGGTTGGCGATCTTGCATTTTGGGCCTAATTCTCGTGAGTACCCTTCTGACTTCAAGTGACGACGCTAATACGTTGTTATGTCAGAGATATACCCCTTTTTTCGGTTCCATCCCACCCCGGAAGATCCCTACACGTTTGCTTTGACATTCTTCGCCTCTTGTGCTGTCTGGGTAAGTTCCCTCTCTTAGTGAGGCTGGATGCTGATCCTTTTCTAGGCGTTTGAGCTTGTAAGCTCTTTCATAGCTCGCCAGATAATGTCTTTTGCTTGGGGCGTAGACGTTTCGCAGATTGGAAGAGAAGAGATCAAAGAATATCCCGAGCTGGTACCTGCCTGCGGTGAGTAATCGTATCATCCAGGTCAAACGCGAGGGCTAATGACTTTGGGTAGGCTGGGCTTCCGTCCATGTTTCAATGAACATTCTCTTGTTCCTGATCAAACTGAACTTTAGATGATAGAACGCTTGACTATGACTAGATAACGTATAATGAAATGACGATGGATGAAATGATCGTGTTGACCTTCGCTTTTGCCAATTTTCGTTATTAAGACTTGTAGACACCAGTGCAGAGGCAACAAGTCCGCATCTGGGTTGAACCCTGGGTTGAAGCCTGGCACATATCTCTGGATAAGCTGATAGCCCCGAGGAAATGCTATTGGGCATGCTGCATTCTCGCTGGGACGCCGACTGAAAGCTGCTGAGACTGTGCGCAGACTGTGCGTGGACGTTGAAAGTGGAGGCTCAAATGCCCACGTGGCAAACCACGTGACTGACAAAAGTTACTCTTCTCTTACATCTTCGGTCTGTGAATTATACTATACTCTCTCTCAACTTGAACACCCATAGACGTTCCGGAAGATGCCCAAGGCAGTCTCATTGCCCGCTCCCAAACCCACCAAACAGCCCAAAATGAAGGGCATCAAGTCAAAGACTTACGCCGGCTTCTTACCGCTTCCCCTCATCCTCCCCTCCCCCGTACCCATCCCCTCCTCCTCCGGCTCATCATCAAAATCAACCAAACAATCAACGCACTACATCTACTGCAGAGAACACAAGCCCAAAGCGCCCCAGAGCAAAAAGGGCAAATCTTCAGCTGAAGGCAGTTCGGACGACCTGCCCGCGGGCAGAACCTTGTTTGTGACGAATCTGCCGGCGGATGTCACGGAGAGGGATTTGAGGACGGTGTTTGGAGAATGGGGTGTGGTGCAGGATGTGCGGATTAGTGGAAAGGAGACGGGGGATGTTTTGGAAGGTGTTGTCCGTGGTCTTTCTGCCGAGGAGATCAATGAAGAGGATGATGACTCTGAAGCGTCCGAGGGCGAGTCTGAGGAAGATGACAAAGAGGAGGAGGAAGAAAAGGATGAGAGGGAAAATGCTACATTCAAAGGCGACCTCCTTACCAAGAAACAACGCCGTGCCAACCGTCGGCGAGATGCCCTCCTCGAATCCATCCCTCCCGTCTCTCCCTTGCCTCCGCTCAACCCGAGAAGCGTACCATTCGGCCAGTCGGGGATTGCAGCGGGCTACGTTGTCTTTTTGGATGAAGTCTCCCTCAGCAGGCTCCTCGCCTCTGGTGGTAAAGAGGTCCAGGTCGCCAAGTACGCGCAAGAGCCCACCGGCCTGTCATACTATGACCAACTCTACACCTCCCTCCGCCCGTCTCTCGACTCTGTCAGAGAATTCGCAAACACCTCCATGGCGCACTTTGACCATCTCTCCTCCCTCCTACTCTCTTCCCGTGCGCGTGCCCAGGGCGCTGGTGCGCTTGTCGATGCCGATGGGTTTACTGTCGTTGTGCGATCGGGTAAGTATGGCAGGGCAGGAGCGAGAGGTGAAGGATGGGGAGAAGGGAAAGGTGGTGTGGGAGTTGCTACGAGGGGGTTCGAGAAGAAGAAGGGAAAGAAGGGTGTTGGAGCGAGCGCGCTGCCAGACTTTTACAAGTTCCAGGCTACCGACAGGAAGAGGCAAGGTCAGTCTTTCGACTTCAGTGTGAGGACATTGCTAATGAGGAGTAGACCTCGCCGATCTCAGACAAAAGTTCGAACACGACAAGGCCAGAGTCGAAGAGCTCAAGAAGTCTCGTCGTTACAAGCCATACTAGAGACATACAGCCGTTGTTCAATGATGTTCATATGCATTTCGGTCTTGAGTCGAGCTATTCCATGCAACAAGACGCTACAACACCCTACATACAATCTAATCCTTCTTCTCCACCTTTTCCCTCTCTGCATCCCCAGCCCTGGCTCTGTGATCAGCCTGCTCCACCGCTCTCGTCACATCAACCACCTCATTCGCTCGAAGGTCGAACGCTTCCGTCAAGTGCTGAATCTGCGAAGGCAGAATCAAAAGCGACGGGTGGGAAGCGGGGGATGAAAGAGGTCCGGGGGCGGGAGGGGGCAGGGGTTGACCGAGATTGCCATGGGCAATCGTCTCCTCGGGCTCGGCTTCTGTGGTAGAGGATGTAGAAATCATCTCTTCAGGCGTGCTGGTGACATCAACAGCTCCGCCCTTTTCTCCGGCAGACACGGCTTCTCCCCCTTCAATACGCCGCCCTTCGCCAGAGTATACACCAGTCAACTGGGCACTCTCCTTCTCCACCACCAAACCCGCCTTGACGAGGTTTTCGAGGTAAGTCGCCCCTTGCCAGGCCTTGTAGTGAGACCAAGCCCGCCAGAGGACGTAGAAGAGGGGAAAGTTGGGGATGACTGGGATGATGGCGAAAGGCCAGGTGAGAGGAGATCTAAATAGAATGTGAGCAATGGCACAAGACACCAAAGAGACGACGGACAAAACGAGGGCGCGGGTCATATGTTTTTTGTGGTACGGTATCCGCTTCAACAGATGTCTGTGGAGCTTGGGTATCAAGGGAGGCAGGGGTGTCTCCAGCTTGGGATACAGCAGCTCGACCTTTTCCTCATCAGCCTGCATTCTCGCGCTCCCATGTTGCAAGACTCACCACTTTTCTCTCTTCCGGCTTGATGCTCCCATCTTTCTCCACCTTGATACCCTCCCCTTCCCTGATAGCTTTCAAAGCCCACTCCTCAAACTCTATCCTGTCCATCAACTTTTCTCCCTTCTCGTAGAACCAGAACATCCAGCTATCCTTCGGCTTGGCCCCGAGTTTGAGCCATGTCTCGGAGCTCTTTGAGAGCGCCTTGTTGACTAACGAAGGGGTAGAGTCGGCAGGGGGGTCGGGTTGGATGGTGTGGAAGAGCACGAGGGGGGAAGGGGGCTGTTCGCCGGGCGTAGCGGGGAGGGACTCCAAGGCTGGGTGGGGCGTGGTGGTGGAGGGCGGCGGGTGGGGCTGTCTGGGGAGCCGGGCGAGGGGCAGAGCGAGGATGCGGAATGGCCTGCTGGGGAGGGGCAGTTTGGGAGGCATGGTGGCTGTTTTGCTGCTGAGGAGGAAGAGAAGAGATGATAGAGGAGATGAAAATAGCTGAACGTCATTCATCCATCAAGGGAGTAAATTTTCGGCGCAATCGAAGACGCGTGGTTGGCGCGCTCGCAAAGAAGATTGCAGTAATACTCATGCATGCATATTGCGAGGCCTGCTGGGGGCAGAGAGAACACCGCTGCATGCATTTTGGACGTGTTTGGGTTTTGCAGAGCAGCGGAAGGACGACAAAGATGCTTCTTATAAGAGCCCAGCATGACTCGACTTGGGTGTTCTGGCTGTCTTCTATTTATGCTCCCAAAACCACCTGGGCTCCGAACTCCGGCTGTGTCTGTACTCTTTGTGCATCATGTATGTTCTGGTCGTTACCTTGCTCTCCATGATATGGATCTATTCCAACGACCTTAACTTGATGGAACAGTTACTGTACGACTGAACACCACACAAGCCGCGACGGCAACACTGCAATTCACTCAATCCATATATTTCGAAGAGTCTACCGTACATCTGTCACGAGTCCATACCATGACAATCCCTCTATTCATTGGGATCACATATATACAATACAATCGTTCGACACTAGAAACAACGAGACATGAGACATATGAGAGGTTTGTCGAATTTATAAAGAGTATGATGTTTGCCATTAGGACAGACGTGTATATAAACTACAGAGCTTCAACCTCCCCACCGCTGTAGCCTAAGCAGCAACCCTGTTGGCCGAAAACTTGCTCCTCGCTCTCAGCTTGGGTCCGAACTTGATGAGAACTATGGGAATCGGAGCGCAGACAAGAGCCACAAAGCCAAGGAGGGAAGAAGCCCAGTGGACGTTGAGCTTCTTGTACATTTGTGTGGCAAAGAGCGGAAAGACGGCACCAAAGACTGATCGGCAGACAGCTGTGGAGAAGTCAGCATGTGAAGAAGACATAATGGAGGAAGGAGGCTTACTGTTGGCTGCGAGAGCAGAAGCGGCCGACCAGAGATAGACGTCAACCATGTAGTTGAATAACGAGACGAATAGACCGAGGGTTCCGATACCCAACAGCCCAGCTGCAAGGACGGGCGAGATCCAGTGGATGCTGGGATAGGCCGTCCAGCCGAACCAGAACATGGCGACAAAGAGGCACACGCCAGCAATGACACAAAATTCGAGTCGAGTCTCGGGTGTAGGAGGAGCAGGCGCGCGCTTGCGGGCCGCCTTTTGATAGCGAGGTTCAAATACAGTGATAAATCTCAAGGACAGTAAGAACAAAAGCGAGATGTGAGGAATGGATGACGCACAGAATGACAGCTATCACACCTCCGAGGAAGAAGCCAAGGAATGTAAGTCCATTCTCGCCCATGTTGAAACCGTGAATCTGCACAAACTACACGATCTCAGTATGGTCTTGGTATACATGACCAAGTCACTCACGACAAAGGGGAAGGCTTCGAACAACAGATAGACAACCCCATACACAAAACTCATATACAGAGTGACAGCTTGAAGCATGGGCTCTTTGGCGAGGATGATGAACGGCTTCAACAGGATATCGTTGACGCGACCTTTGAAAGACGTGTCGTTCTTCTCCACTATCGGGACACGTCAGCTCACATTTTCGGCAGTCATCATGGGCGCGTACATGGTGCCCAATATCGATCGTCTCCCGTCTCCTTGCGAAGTCGTTTGGCCTTGTTGGCAAGAATCTTGGGGGCATACGTTTCTGGGATGAAGGCGATCACGAGGAAAAGGCAAACGCCAGCGAAGATTGTCAAGGTCCAAAAGACCCAACGCCAACTTGCTCCGGCTACAAATATGTAACCACCGACGATGGGCCCCTGCGTCCGCGTGTGAGCTATAAGCGGCTGGAGCACTGGTTGACTTACAATGGATGGACCAGCGAATGGAGCAAGAGCGAACCAACTTTTGTTGTTCTCAGTCAGCTACTAAGCGTAGGGAACACACTCGGCCACAACTAACCTCATAGCAGTTCCTCGATGTTTGCCATCCCAGATATCCGCCAACAGTGCTCCAGAGTTTGTGAGGGGTGCCGATGCAAAGGTCTGAGGGTGAGGTCAGCTTGGGAAGGGACGAGAGTGAGAGAATAGAGAGGAGACGTACTCCACCGAGGAACCTGAAAATCAAGATGGACGCCGTGTTTTTGGACAGCGCACAGCCAAGCTGGAAACACGTGTAGCAGAAGAATGCAATGATGAAGATGGGCCTTCTGCCATAGCTTTCTGAGAGGGGACCCCAAAGCAAAGGGCCGACACAGTATCCAGCAACAAAGAGTGATATGGTGAGGATCGCGACTTCTTGAGAAAAGGTAAAATACTCCATGAGGTCGGTGACAATGCCCGACGGTGCCGAGGAGGCAAAGGTCGAGTTGAGTACTAGGAGACTGCCGATACCAGTGAGGAACCATCGATAAAGGACCGACCAGTTCTACCGCAAAGTACGTAAGCCCTTGATCACCCAACAAAAACATGACATGCCTTTGGGTTGATGTTTTCTCCCGGTTCGAATTGCACTTGGTAAGGATCGGGTCCTGCCTTTTCTGCTTCGATTTCCCGAGCCTCTTCCTCTTCCCTACTTCTCATAGCCCTGAGGCCCATCTCTGCATCGCGATCTCCTGGAGAGACACCTCCATACAGACCGATTCCTGGTGGACTCGAAGACGTTCGAGACAGTCGATCAGAGTGTTCACCGCTCCCGCCCCCGCTCTTGTTGCCGGTCTTTTCGTCGTATCTGGGGGCCACGCGGGTGGCGTCATCAGAGTCGTTGAGGTGGCTCGCCGCGGAGCTTTTTCTTGAGGGGTTCCGATAGGCGTGTATGTGGTGCGAGGAGTGGACAGGGTGGTCGGGGGTGGCGACTGGGGCCGGCTCTGCAATGGGGGGTGCGAGAGACGGGGCAGACATGGTGAGTGATAGATGCAGATGAGAAATGAGTTGGATTTATTTATTTCTCCATCTATTATGTACGCACGGTTTTCTCCTCGTCATCCAGAGATCCTCATACTCCCCCTCGGGCGCCGCCATCCCTCGGCCTGGCCAGTTGCCCGCGATCTCCGAGGTGGGCAGCCCCGCCCATCTCGTTATTTGGTTCTGCCACCCTTCAATGGGCAAAAAAAATCTGCGCGAAGCGAATACCTATCAATCATCCCGACTTGGGGCATGGGCCACTCCAAAAGATAATTCATCTATCTAGGGAATGTTCTCCCCACAGAGAGCCTTGGTGCAGCATACATATCTTGGTCGAGCCGTGGCCGAGCATACATATCCTGGCCGAGCCGGGGCCGACGAGGCGCCAACGGCTAGCTCCTTTTCATGGGTCGTGGATGAACAAACGACTATGTATGATGCTTTCCAGAAATCCTGATCGACATTGTTATGACAAAGGTAGTACATTCATGATCTCCTTTGTTGTTGATCCTTAACCTCTGATATGAGCTTACGTAACTCGAATATCTCGCCGTAGCGATCCGCCGGTCTTCAACTTGTCTTCAACCCATTCACAACCCATTCATCAACTTTGCAAAGTCTACGATATCAAGCACTTCCGACAACCAAGACCGAGTAAGGGCCAGGATCACAGGAAGCATGTTCTTATCCCGCCAGCTCTCTCCAGCGAGCTCGCTAGCTAGTGAATTGTACCAGCTTTCTCCGCCGCCATTGAGCTCACTCCAATGCAGGCCGATCTTTCTGCTCAACCTGTCGACTCCTTCAAGCTCCAAAGAGACTTGGCGAATCATCTATTCAGCCCTTGCGGACAAGATCGTCCGACGGTACGAGTTCTGCCATTGACGCAAGTTCTGAAAGACGTCCGCGGACGCCTAAGCGTGATCGCCAGGTGGACAAGTCCAAGTCGCATGCCAGGCAGAGCGACTCTTCAGAACCAAAGCTACGGAGGGAAAAGTTACTGCTGCTCGGTCCAAGTATCGACAGTGGCCCGTTACGTCCAAAGAGGCCAATCCCCGACGGATCATCCAGAACCCAAAGATCTCCTCGGGCGCCCGATGGGTCGGCGCCTCGAGTCCACCGAGACCGAGACAGCCGGCCGCCTCGGTCGAATGCTGGTCCTTCTTGGGAATCGATTGCCAGAGAGAAAGGCGTAAGCTTGACCTTTTTATCCTGGCATTTGAATTACATGCTGATGTTATACCGCAGATCAGGTTCATAGGTATCGACCTTGGGACTGCGCTCCCCCGCATCTTCACCTCCCGCCCCACCATGCAATACATCACCCCTCTCTTCGCCATCCGCCTCTTCCCTGCTTCAGCCCTCCCCCTCCGTCCCGCTCCGCCCTTCCCTCTGCATGCCATAGCGAGAAAGAGGCAAGAGATGAAGGCAGAAGCGGCTTGTGTGTATGCGGTGGTGATTGCTAGTAAGGCCAAGGTGAGTAAACTGGCGGTAGAGCGAAACAAGGTGAGGAGAAAGATTATGGAGGCGATGAGAACAGTTGTGAATGCGCCAGGTATGGTGGGTAAGAACCTTGTCTCGCCAGGTATGTCCTCTTGCATCGTTACTTCTCTTTACTGACTTTGAACAAGAGCACGCATATATCATCTCTGCAAATCCTGAAGTCTATGACGCTCCTATGGAAATGCTCGTGAACGACGTCGAGCGGTCATTGGTGACTATCAGGAAAAAGATGGAGAAGGCGGGCGATGTGAAGAGCGGGGCGGAGTTGTGGTTGCCTGAGCCGAGATACCTTTCGAAGGAGGGAAGGAGGTGGTAGACTGAGATGGATCGTCTCAATTGGGTGCATAGACACGTATATATCTTCAGTCCATGAGGGCCTTCACGATTCTTTATGACATTCATACTCGTACCAGCCCAAACATCAGACTGGGCAGCACCTATAGGCATTCCCGAGGCTGCCACTCTGAAGCAGATACTGGAGTAGTGTCAGCAACACTCGGTATGCACATGACCGATGTATCCCGTGCATGACTGTGGCTGGGGCCTATGTAGTCACACGATACAGAGCGAAACAACCCATTCTAGATGAGATGGTGGCCTCTTCATCCTCCGTCGTCGCTGCAATGTCCCAGGCGCAACATCATTCACACCGTACAGCGAGCGGGAGGAAAAAACAATAGTCATATAGTGGCATACAAGATAGCAGAGAACGATACAATGGTGATTGGTATGTCAGCCCTAAGCGAAACCTATCCACCCCGCGAGAGGCATATCGGACAAGTATTATAAACAGGCTACTACTTTAAATAGTGGGTTTCCTCTCCTCCGGCGCCATTAAACGTGTCATCTGTGGGGTAATATTTGTGTGTGAGAAGACGTTATGGTTTAAGCCAGAGTTGTTATGTGTAAAGAAGAAGAAGAGAAAGAGATGGCTTTCGCAGAAATGCTGCAGGAGCAGTGCGAGTCCGCGGCCAGAACGTGGTTACGTAATGCAGAAGTGCCACAAGTTTCGGACACGAAACCGCGAAACGCCGGGTATGGTGGCAGGCTGCAAATTAGCTGCAATTCGACGCATCGAGCTCCCTTAACCAGCAAGTTCCCCCACCCGTGAGTTCGATTCTGCGTGAGGGGTGTTGGCGAGCAGGGGAGACACGGAATGGTGCTGACGGGTGTTGTCATGCTGCTCTTTCTCGACTAAAACATCAATCGTCACCAAACGCCGAAATCTCGAAATCCGTCAAACCCCAAATTCCTTCCCTTCTTCCATCGAATTGCACTCCTGCGGCCTACTCGACATACAGATCAATTCTTCAAAATGGCTCCTGCTCGATCCAGTGAGTAGAACTTTGGCGGGAACAAGTGGGGCGGGTTGGATTTTCTGTGCTTGTGCTAGGAGGAGAATACGGATGAGGAATCAAGACGGCGCTGTACAGGAGCTGAGTGCAGAAGCTTTGACCTGGTGTATGGTCATGGTGTGGTGATGGCGAAGGGGCGAAAGGCCGGGCACAGAAATTCATTCACCCACTCCCCATGAGACGCTCCATGAGCTCCCGCTGATACATCTGCAGACCTCCGCTACGGCATGAACAAGGGCCGACCCACCACCGTCATCCCCCGAACTGTCCGACCTTCCAACAAGAGGGGTGTCAGCACGTCAGTCTTTTCGATCGCCCCAGGATATTCGAAGGAATGCTGATACGATGACCGTAGTGAGAAGAAGACTTTCGTCAAGTCTGTCATCCGAGAGGTTGCTGGGTTCTCCCCTTACGAGAAGCGAGTCATGGAGTTGTTGAGGAACTCCAAGGACAAGAAGGCCAAGAAGCTCACCAAGAAGAGGGTGCGTCTATAACGGTGTCTTGCTCAAGAACATTGCTGACTGAATATCTAGCTCGGTACTCTCCTCCGATCCAAGAGGAAGGTTGAGGAGCTCTCCGCTGTCATCGTTGAGCAGCGTCGTGCTGGTCACTAAGCTATTCGCTTAGTGTCTAGTCTCGGGAGGGGGTTGTGTCGCCGACTCGGTTGGATAGACCATCAGGGATTTTCACATGTAAAATGCTTGGCTATGACTGCTGGGAAGGGGATGCAGCTTGATGATTATGCTTTTACATCGATTGTGGTCCAAACACCTCCTGAAGATACGCTCCTTATGCTAACAACACTTGCGACGTCCGCGGTACGACTACTCGGATCACGCTCTCATCCAGACGTCGGCCCTCTTTGCCTGATTTTCCACCTTGACTTGCTCTGCTGTCCCCTTGGCGTCATTCTCTTCGTCTTGCGCTGGATCTCTCCCCTCAGCAGCACGCTCCTTCATACCCGCCCAACCGTCCCAGATACCTCCACGGAAGTGGTTCCCTCTGTGTCGCCAGCCAAACTGTTCTTCTGTCAGCTCATGCCGCCTGATGTAGATGGAAATCGACATACCTTGACAGTTGCAGTGATGACACCGATACCCATGCCGACACCGATACCTGGCGCCGCGAAGAAGGCCAAACCACTTCCCAGTGTGCCGATGAGACCACCTCCAAGGGCGGCAACAGCACCACCTATGAGGGCGTACTTTGTGTAGCGAAGAAGACGGCGGATTATGTACTTGAGGGCATATCTATAGTTGACCGTCAGCATGATGATACATTTTTGGGGCCTTCCACTCGTCACTCGATGAGACTTCTTTCACCAGCCAAGACACGCAGCATACCTGGTAGTAGTCAGAGCACTCCTTGTCGCAAAGCTAGCTGGAGCCACGGCAGCAGCAGATCCAAACAACAAGTAGGAGGCGTTGACTTTGGCACGGTGGAGAGAGGTATTGGTTTGCGGGGTAGGCGAGTCGACGGGTGGGTCGTTAGGTTGGGGAGCTTGAGATTTGGATGGCTGGGACATTTTGTGCTATGGAGGTGATAGTTGCATGCAGGAAGAAGCCGTTTGTGGCTTTGAAATGAAAAGAGGCTTACGGGACCGACGTCCTCTATGACGCAGAGCGAGTTGTAGATCGGAGGTCACCGCCTGACAGCTGCAAGGTCGCGTTGTTTTCGTGATGCCATTTTCCACTTTTCATTCTTCCTCCACACCCTCGAAGTGAGTCCTCTACACGCAGATGACATGGCTGGCACTGGCTGATCATACTCAGAATGTCCACTGAAGAGATCCCCAAGTCCGTCTTGCCTTATCCTCCTATCCACAAGGACGCCCAGTTCGTCGTCCTCTCTGACTGGGTATGATCTTCACTCTGTCACACAAGGGTTAACAGCTGACACAAATGCTACTTAGGATGGCACTATCACCGACAGAGTGAGTGGCAGCTTCTCAGGAACCTTGAATAAAAATTGGAAACGAGATGGAAAGCGGAGGTAACAGGGAGGGTCTGTGTTGCACGGAAGAAACGTTTGACGATCTCAAAGGGATCAGGCACTGACTCGCGATGGACAAAATAGGACAGCAATGACTTGCTGGTGGACAACCTCGGTTTTGGTTTCGAAAAGAGGTGAGCTCATCACAGCGCAAGCAAACCAGGGGATATGACCTGACTGGCTGCCAAGACGTGCTTTGAACATTGAATGTCTCGAGGACCGAATCTGCTTTAGGGATACCTTCAAGGAGATGCTCGAGTCTATTGACAAGCCTTTCGAGGAGTGCAAAGAGTACCTCAAGCAGCGTCAGTCACTGTCCCTGAATGACTCTCACACGACTGACCGTCAAACAGACATCAAGCTCGACCCTGGGTTCGAAAAGTTCTACAAGTACTGCCGAGCCAACGGTATCCCCGTTGTCATTGTTTCTTCCGGTATGGAGGCCAACATTCGCGCTGTCCTCTCTACTCTTCTCCCTGGCCCCGAGGCTGAGGAGATCGAGATCATTGCCAACGACGTCAAGTTTACCGACCCCGAGGGCAAGGGCGACAAGTGGGAGATTGTCTTTAGGCACCCTACCAGTGGCTTCGGACACGACAAATCTAGGGCCATCTTGCCTTACCGTGACTTGCCCCACAGGCCTACTCTGTTCTTCTGTGGTGACGGTGTCTCTGGTACGTCCCATCGACGATCGAGACGGCGGGGCTGATGATGTATCACTACCCAGACTTGTCTGCTGCTAAGCACGCCGACTTGCTCTTTGCCAAGACCATGCCCTCCGGCCACTCTGATCTCCAAACTTTCTGCCAAAAGCAAAAGATCAACCACCTTCCCTTCGTCGACTTGTGAGTCCCGTTTATCGCCCTCAGAAGGGTATTCTGACGTACCTCATTTTCAGCAACAAGGTTCTCGAAAAGTTGCAGGAGGTTGTGGCTGGCAAGACTGTGGACGACATCTTGACGGAAGAGGGCAAAAAGTACTGAGCGGGAGAATCTTGTCTCAGGCATAGACTTGTATCGGGATAGACTCGCGCATAGATGAAGAAGACCTGTAGCTAACATGCATCACGCCTAGATTTGGATCTCGTCGAGTCTTTACAGCGCCTACTGCTTTCGCCCTTTCTGACGCTCACAGCAGTCTTTGCAGCGCAGCCCTCCACCACCACGGCGATACGTAAGCTTGAGGTTGCCGAGGATAAGCCTAAAGCCGGATTGGACCGACGCCTTCCTTATCTCTCGTCTTGTTCATGATTCACACTAGCCAGAACACTAATGATGTCCAGGTACCCGTGTAACATCAACCATACCTCTTTCTTTTGACACCACACTTGCCAGCTTCTGCAGGCCCCGCGCGTGCTTATCGCTGACAGCTACAGATGGTCGACAGTGGAGAGTGTATTACCTCATCCACGGTGTTCCTGTGGCCTGCGGCTGCCATATTGCTCCACCCCGCCCTGTGCCGCTGCTGCGAATGCCAGCATCGTACTCCCAACGCATCAGCCCAAGATAGGGGAGGTTATGCAATCGACAGCTCGAGATAAGAAACCGACCAAAATAGACGCCCGCTCATACGTGGTCTCACGTTATCCCGCAGTTATGGTTACTGACCTGTCTTGGCCCTCTGCCTCTGTTTCTCAGCGGTAATTTATGGGGTGCATGGAACACTGCAACCATTGATATCACAGCCGACGACGCACTTATCTCTTATCTCCTCCCGATGAGCTCTAGCTATTCCAGATTAATGCGCCCGCTGCCAGCAAATCGCTCATATCCGACCTTCTCCCCTCTATATAAGGCCTCACCCGGACTATCTTTCCTTCGAACCACCCTCGGCAGCATCTGGCAACATGTCGGAATTCAAAGAATACGGCTACGGCTACTCAAACGACAACAAGAAGGCTGAAGACTACACCACCACCGAAGTTCTCCCCGCGGACGACATTGACGTTGAGTCTCCCGGCGTCGACAACGTCCCCCACGACGATGACGGCCTGGAGGACAAGTACAAGCTCAAGCGGGAGATGAAGAGTCGACACATGCAGCTTATCGGAATTGGGAGTGCGATTGGTACCGGTTTATTCCTGGGTACTGCGCCTGCGTTGGCGGATGGAGGACCCCTGGGGTTGTTGCTTGGGTATACTCTTATGGGAGCTGTCTGTGTCTGTCTCATGGTGAGTCGAGTGACAACCATGGTGGGATCCCACTGACGTGCTCACGCAGGTATCAGTCGGAGAGATGATAGGTTAGCTTTGTCGCTCCGGTGATTGACGCTTTACTGATACCACCTCTAACAAAAGCCTTCTACCCGGTTCCCGGGGGTCACATCAGGCTCGCTGAACGTTTCGTTGATCCTGCTCTGGGTGAGTGCTTCTCTGTCGCACCTGGCACTCTTGGCTGAAAGGATATAGCATTCACAATGGGATACAACATGATCGTCTCTAGCTTTGTCAGTCTTCCCAGTGAGCTTTCAGCTGGTGCCGTCTTGATCAACATGTGGAACACCGACATCTCCAACGGGTCAGTCTTTTGTTCATAGCATCCGCTTCATGACTGATTCAAGTAGAGTTTGGATTACCTGCGGCTTGCTCCTGGTGATCGCCTTGAACTTGTTTGGCCCCGGCGTATACGGTAAGCATAGTCGTCAATGATGGCGTCGGGGAAGGTGCTAATTTGTGGCAGGTGAGGCAGAGTTTTGGTTCTGTTCTATCAAGGTGCTCTGTGTTCTAGGCCTCATGCTCGTAAGCTACTCCCCATCTCTCGAGACACACGCTCATTGTCCACAGCTTGGTATCATCCTCACCGCTGGCGGCGGTCCCAACGGCGAAGTCATCGGGTTCAAGTACTGGAAAGATCCCGGACCTTTCGTCCAGTACGAAGGCATCTCTGGATCGTTAGGAGCCTTTCTTGGATGGTGGGCTGTACTGCTTCGTGCTGGGTATGCATACCTCGGCACTGAAGGTGTCGCCCTCGCTGCGGGAGAGGCGAGAAACCCTCGAAGGACGGTGCCTAGAGCGATCAAGACTGTCTACGTCCGGTGAGTGCTTCTCCCTTGTCGTCTCAAGCCCGGCTGACCTTGATCTAGAATCATCTTCTTCTACTTAGTCACAGTATTCCTCATTGGCATGGTCATCCCTTCCAACGACTCCAGCCTCTCGCTATCCTCCGGTAACGCCCTCTCAGCGCCATTCGTCATTGCCATCCGCCGTGCCGGTATCCCCGCTCTGCCGAGTATCGTCAACGCCTGTCTCCTCACCTCTGCATGGTCAGCCGGCTCGGCGGGCGTGTACACTTCTTCGCGAAGTATGTACGGTCTGGCAAAACTTGGCATTGCTCCCAAGATCTGGATGCGTACGAACCGATACGGTACGCCTTGGGTTGGCGTGCTCACTGTCGGACTGTTTGGCGGGTTGTCGTATATGACTTTGGACGGTACCGCCTCAGAAGTGTTCAACTACTTTACAAACTTGACTAGTGCTTGTGGTCTGCTCACTTGGTGGGGGTAAGTGACTCGTTTCATGTTTGAGGAAAGAGCTCATGTTGTATAGAATGTGCTTTACTTATATCCGCTTCAACTCTGGTCTTCGCGCCCAAGGTATCAGCCGTAGCAGCCTCCCTTACGCATCTGTCATCAACTACCGCGCCCTCGCCGCGTGGTTTGCCCTCATCTGGTGTTCCCTCATCCTCTTCTTCTCCGGCTGGTCCAACTTTCTCAAGATCGACGGGGAGAGCAACTGGAGCACGTCTGGGTTCATTACTAACTACATGCCGGTTTGGCTCTACCCGATGTGGTGGATTGGGTACAAGTTGGTGAAAAAGTCCAAGTTTGTGAGGTCGAACGAGATGGACTTTGTGACGGGGATCGCAGAGTTTGATGTGCAGGATTACAAGACTGAGGCAGAGATGGCGGAGAAGAAGCCTTGGTACAAGCGGATCTTCAACGTGTTCATGTAGGAGTGCTTTCGGGGTTTGGAGTGTTTAAATACTGTTCGTTATTGTTGTTATTGCTGGGTTGCGGCTGGGTTGGTTGTATACGGTTGTCTCTCTTACATAAAAGATGAAGCTGTTTATAACATTCACATGCAATGGTATTGTTGTTCTGCCCGAGTGCTCGCTAGGATCATCTTCATCTTCAGCGACGGAGTGTGGCAAAGTATTTGCAGAGTATTGGCAGAGTATGATAGCGGCGGGACCAAAAGTGAGGTCTGCCGAGCGTCGGAAATCGCCGAGTCCTTATCTCTTTGACATTTCTTGCTTCTAGTTCCGTACTGATAAGCCCCGTCCAGCTCCAAATCCCTCTCGCCGTTACTGCCATGCTGGCGCCACGGTCAGATAACATTCATCCGCCTGAGCCTCCCGCCTCCCGTGATATCGACTGCGAGCGCTGCTCCCTGGCTCCATCTGCTCTCTCTGCCCTCCCACAGGGCCCCGGGTCAGTCTCATTTATCGCCAGGCACACATCGCGTAGAGATAAGAGAATCTCCGCCCGGCTCTGCTTCTCCCCCGTACCCGATCATGCCGACTATAGCCTCCCTTTGCATCGGGGCATTTGCCTAGACTAAGAGCACTTGTGACATGTGGGGCATGTGGCTGGACGCCGGGTGGCTGCAGCACAGCCAATGGGAGGCGGATGTCGGCGGTAGGACTCTAGTATCTCTGGCGCTTGCAGAGAGGGCGCCGGAAGAGGCATCTCGTGAGTTGATAGCCGAGCGACCCCAAGATAGGTAATCAAGTGCTGACGCTATAAGCCACAGCCATACATAAGTGACGCCCCCTCTCTTCATCCCATCTCTATCCCTCAAGATCTCTCTCACTCTTCTGGCGCCATGAGGACTTTTGCCCTCCTTGCCCTCCTGGGCACCACCCTCGCTCTTCCCTCGCCTAAAATCTCCTCGGTCCGTAAACCCAACAGGTTCGGTCGTCCTCCCCAACGTCGGGATATCATTACCAACGACGCCAACACCACCGCCTCCTCCCCCACCACGAGCGCACCCAAGGACAACATCTGGAACTTTCTCACAAATGATGAAGCTGCCGGTATCGTCGGGTTCTTGCACAACCAGACAGTCCTCAACTTGACTGCTGTCGACGACGCTGGGGACTGGGACAACACCATCACTGTAGTCGACCTCTTGCCTCCTAACAAGACGGACGCCTTGTCGTATATGGACGGCGATGGTGCCAAGCCGGACCGTTATGCCTACGCCAGTATCCTCTTTGGTGCTACCGAGGAGCCTTATGCGCAGGACTTTGTGGTCGGCCCCCTTCCTGTGTCGAGTGCCACTACCTACTATCCCTATACCTACGGTTCTCACTCTGAGGATGCCAAGATCAGAGTGTACGATCTGGACGACAAGACGTAAGTCGGATCCTACTGGCCTTCTTGGGCGCAGCTGACAAGTGCCACAGCGACTTTCTGTCAGACATTGCCATGTCTATGAGCGACATCGTTTCTGACATTCTCAATGGTGAGTATTGAAGTATGCTGTGTAGCAAGGCTGACCCTTGTATAGCTACCATCGACACTGCCGACGACCTCGCCGAGACCTTTGACATCTGGGGTATCGACCCCGTCTGGCACCAGCCCGATGAGAACGGCAACGACCGTGTCATCTTCTGGGTACGTCTGCTCTCTACCCCTGGGACCCCCTCTAACAACACCCTAGGCTGGCTTCTGGCGTTATCCCGAGTCCATTCAGATGGAGAACAGCACCATCAACTTTGACGGCGAGACTCTCCTTCCCCAGGGTCTCTACATCCAATGCGACATCACCGGCCGAGATCAATCCAAGTGGGGTCTCATGGGTATTCTCTACGGCGACGAGTACTACTCTTCAGTGGACGAATTTAGGACTGCGTGGAAGCAGAGCGACTTTAAAAAGTACGAGCCCAACTACTCTGGCGATTGGATCGGCACGGACCAGACCGGCGAGACCATGCCTCTCGAGTCTCAGGCGCCTCCTCTCAGCGTGCAGCCTGCAGGACAAAGGTTCAAGGTTGACGAGGAGAACCGTTATGTCGAGTGGATGGACTTTTCCTTCTACCTCACTTTTACGCGCGACACCGGTATGAGGCTTTACGACGTCAAATTCAAGGGGGAGCGTATTCTCTACGAGTTGGGCTTGCAAGAGGCTATTGCGCATTACGCTGGGAATGACCCAGTGCAGAGCGGTACCTCTTACCTTGATACGTGAGTTCATCCCATTGGGTCTACGCGGAAGCTAATGATGACGGCAGATACTACGGCTTTGGCCCTTATGCGTTCTCCCAGGTTCCCGGCTTTGACGCGCCTCTCTACGCCTACTGCATGAACACCAGCTTCCACGCCGCCGAGCTTTCCAAAGTACGTTTGCTGCTCTCATCGAATCGACCTATGCTAACTGGGCTTGATAGTCTCACCGATGCGGTATCTCCATCTTTGAAGCCGACCAGAACTACCCCATGCAGCGTCACTCCAACTCCGCCTACGTGTCAGCCACCAAGAACATTGCTCTTACTTTGAGGTCTATCAGCACTGTTGGCAACTACGACTACAGGTGGGTCACTCTCTCTCCTGGAGACTTTTACTGACTTGGATTCCAGTTTCGACTACGTGTTTTACCTGGACGGTACGATGGAGACTGTTGTCAGGGCTTCTGGTTATATCCAGTCTGCGTTCTACGCCAACAATACTGATTACGGATACCAAATCCACGACTCTGTAAGCGCCTTTTCTCCCTCCTTTCAAGGCATATACTGATATTTCCAAAAGCTCTCTGGCTCTATGCACGACCACGTCTTGACTTGGAAAGCCGACTTTGACATTGCTGGTCAAGAAAACACTCTCGTCAAGCACGTCATCGAGCCCAAGGATATCAAGTACAAGTGGAACAACGAGACCCGATCTACCATGCACCTCGTCCGAAAGGAGATTACCAACGAAGACGACGGCAAGATGGTGAGTCATACTACTTCATGTATCAAGGGATAGCGGCTGATGAAGAGTAGAACTGGTCTGCCAATGCTCAAGAGCAAGTGGTGGTGGTCAACAAGAATGCGACAAACAAGTACGGAGAGCCCCGAGGGTACAAGATGATGCCCAGCCGAGGAGGCGCGGGTATGCACTTGACCATCACCAACTCTAGCAACTTGCTCAACTCGCAAGGTCCGTACCTACCCTTTCCTTCCGAGTGTACGTACTGACTATGTTATAGGCTTCGCTACTCACCAGTACTACGTCTGCAAGAGGAAAGACTCTGAACTTCGTGCATCCAACGCGTGGAACGACTATGACACTGCCAACCCCATCGTCGACTTTAGCAAGTTCTTTGACGGCGAGGATATCGAGCAAGAAGATATCGTGGTCTACTTCAACCTTGGTATGCACCACGTGCCCCACACCGGTGATCTCCCCAACGTACGTCCCCTCTCATGTCTCGAGCAGCAGTACGCTTACGATGATATGCAGACCGTCTTCACCACTGCTACAAGTGGCATGATGATTCTCCCCCACAACTACCTTCTATCCGACCCCTCTCGTCAGGCTACGCAGCAGATCCGTATCGACTACAACGACAACACAACCACTGACGTATACACCTGGGGACACGAGACTGCGTCCGGGACCGTCAACCTTGTGAGTATTCTGGCCGGCAGAGCTTCAGGGCAATGGCTGATGTACCTACAGGACCAGATCAGCTGGGACCCTTACTCTTACTATGGTGATGTGGCTGTTAGAAAGTTCCCTTACGATCGTGCGTATCTAATTGCATTTGTGACGGTGTGGTGGCTGACCTTTATCTCTCTTTACAGCCCAGAACCCCTTCAACGACAGTGAGCTCCACTGATTGGTCCTAATATGATCTTGGGCTAACAATTTGATAGCCGAATCCATCGTTTGATGCGTTGACCGAGGGAGACGGAGGTGGTTATAAGGGTATAAGTCCAAAAATAGACACAAAAGGAAAAGCTTCAGGTATATTCAGGCAAGAACCAAGGACATTGGACCTATAATGGGAATGGTGTCTTTCTAGATAGCAAGAGATAGCACTAGAGGCAGCCAATGCATACAGTATAATCGTTCATGGACGGCCGGCGGTCAAAGGAGTGGAGGTTCCGCGGCGCTTATCTGGCTTTGTTTGGCGCGGTGGATGCAAGGTGGATGGAGCAATCATCCGTCCGAAACTGTTTCCGTTCTCGCATCCCTCCGAATCTCCCTCTCTCTATCCCTCCTCTATCCTTCCCGCTCTTGCTCCCCCTCTCTTCCTCGCCCAGCTCGCCTCTCGTCAATCTCGTCAATTCCGCCGACAGGTCCGCGAATGCCATCAAGCCAAAGCGATCTCTGGCGCCTGTCGTCACATGAGAAAAACCCCGGTCTGCCTTCAAGCGAGGTTGGTTCTCTTTCCTTCCAACCTTTCGGCCGCAACCATGCCAAGCTCATGCTGTCTGTGGACGAGATGCAATTCACTCACATACATCCACTTTCAATTCTCTCGCTGACGGTTCTCCGCAGGATGTCGAAGCAGCGCCGCTCCAACAAGATGCTCCCTGTTCGAAGGGAAGGAAGCGCGCGCCTTTCGTGCGAAGGGGGCTCATGGTTTTGACCTTCTTGACGGCTTCCATATGGCTATCACCTCTCATTGGACGAACACCCAGCCTCACCCGCTACTGGTCCCAGTCAGCCACGCCTCTCGACACCCAGTGCGATACCCTTCTCACCGCTTCCGCTGGCACTTACACAGTCCGTCTGGAGACTCTCGTCTCGTCCCTCCCCCCATCCACTGTCTGGGTGGCAGAGCCTGGCGCATCAGCCTCATACTTCATCGGATCATTTTCGTCCGAAGAGTGGTGGCTCTCTGAACGCCCATTCCTCGTCGTTGTCGGTCAGTCGTTTGATGGCCGTCCCCGGGTGTACCTGGTCACGCCGACGTTCGAAGCCCTCCGAGCGCGTTTGTTGGAGCTTCCCGAGGAGGTACGGCATATCGCCCGGTGGGTCGAGTGGAGGGAGGACCAAAGCCCTTACCAGGTTCTTGGCGCTGCCCTCGAAGATGATGGCGAGACCTTCGTGCTTGATCCTATGGTCCGCCACTTCGTCGGACAAGGCCTGCGGAAAGTACTCCAAGAGGAGACCGACGAGGAGGTATTGGCGAGCGTCTCTCTCATCAGAGAACGCAAGACTACCCACGAAGTCGACTTGTTGAGGTGCGCCAACCAAAAGACGCTCCACGCCATTCGCCAGACGAGAAAGAGAATGTACTTGGGCATCAGCGAGTCGCAAACGAGTAACATACTCGAAGAAGAGATGGCCAAGACGGGTCTTATTGGAGGGGAGGGGTTGGTCTTGTTTGGCGGTGAGTCTTTCCCCTTGCGGTTCTGTATACAAGCCTGATCAGACATTGCAGAGGATGCAGCGCTTCCGCATGGTTCTGGTACCAACCGTCGCCTGGGAGAGTCTGACCTCATCTTGATCGATGCAGGAGGCAAGTGGGGAGGCTATGTCTCGGACATTACTCGAGTACGTCAGAAATAGTAGGCTTGGAGACTCCAACGCTGACACAGCTTAGACATTCGCCCTCCCCAAATCCAAGATCCCTCAGCACTACATCGACCTCTGGGAGACGGTCCGGCAAGCTCAATACGCAGCCTTTGAGTTCCTCAAGGGAACCAACGCCTCCTCTCCACCAAAGCTTGCTGATCTCGACCGATCGGCCCGAAACGTGGTGTCAGCCTGGCACCGCTCCGAGCCTTCGTCCTCTTCCCCAGCCGTGGACCCCACGGATGACGCTTCAGTACCAGATTTTAGCATCTTCACCCACCGGCTTGGGCACGGTATCGGTCTTGAGGGACATGAAGTGCCATATCTCGTCCAAGGGCCTCTCGGCGAGCGACGAGTGCAGAGTGGACAAGTGTTTAGCCTCGAGCCTGGGATCTATCTTCCGCAAGACGGTGAGGAGGTGCATGGCATGAGGGGTGTGGGGGTGAGGTTGGAGGACTGTTTTATTGTGACGGAAGATGAGCAGGGGCGGCTGGGTGGAGAGTGGCTTTCGGGGCCGATAGGGGCGTGGGGGGAAGAACCCTAACTGTTGTGGCTGCCAACGCCTGAATCGATTCCGACAAGACATTGTACGTTTGGCCTTTTCGTCTTCATGATCGGTGCTCAGACTCGGCGATTGACCTCTTGCTTGCAGATTGCATAACTGATGCATGTATTGCTCTGGCTAGCCTCCACTTCAGTCGTCACCCAATGCACCCAACAACCTCCACCGACAGCGGGAATTATTAACAAACGCTTAATTTCTTGAGGCAGCGAGATCTATTCTTAGAGGTGCGCTTCTTGGCTCTACAGAGTACAGACTGCTCTGGTCACTGTCAACGTCAGTCGCTCACCATGCATCTCAGGCAACTCAGATCACCCCATGCATACGCACGATACATAGCTGGCAGGCCATCCATGGTACCCGCGGTGCATGCAGCGTTACCCCCATCCTCCATCCTTCACTTTGCTGGCAAAGAAAAATGCCTCAATTGAGGTACGTCTGTTGTCACTGGGATCTCTGGTGCCTCGGCTTTCGTTTCGAGAGAGTTCCGCCTCATCATCTTTCAACAATCTGCGACAAAAGGCTTAGACGCCACCTATTCCGCTCGCCCCGCAGCCCGCTGACACCCCTTGTCAGGTGCCATGGTCAGTCTGGCATGGGCCATGCATCCCATCCCAGTCTCCCCTTCCCATGTCTCTAGTCACTCAACTCTGCAGCGGAAAGAGATCTGCGTTGTGCCTGTCGGCTACGTAGAACGCAGAACGCAGTTTTTCGAAAAACCTTCTTCGGCAGGAAGATACTGACCAGGCACGATCCCGCATTTTGGAATGACGAATTCGACCTTGGACGCTGGCTCTCACCACCAGAGCTCCCTGCTATCTGGCTATGCATGCTCTCGATATCTGCACCGTGGCATGTCGTGCAGCATGCAGCGTCTTTGTGCGCTGGGAGCAGGGGCTGGTTCCAAACGCCCAGGTCGCCGGGTCGTGGTCACGTTTTCGGCATAGCGAGCATCGCTACTAGTGTTTCTGATTTCCTTGATTTCCTCAAAGGCACAGTCCATTTTTCGGCCTTCACAATTTTCCGCCTTATCAGATTGGATGGTGGATCAGTTACACGAGCTCGTTTTGGTGCGCTCTGTACCATTATGCTGGCCTACTTTCCATGCTATGCTCTCCTATCAAGCCCTTCTCGCCCCACATCTCCACACTCCAACGCCCCACTCTTCCCAGACGTGTGTCTTGGAGCACTTGAACCAAGGAATCGGTACTCTTCATCCAACATCTTTTGCCCAGCTCCTTCTTTCGGCCTAACCTCCCGACACAATTGCGGAGACAGTACTGCTTATTTTGCTATCCGAAACCGCATGTTTTCTGGTGGAGTCTATTGGCCTTTGCAGTTTTTCCACAAACTGAATCACATTCATTCGCTCCTCGTCACTCCACCTCGCTCGAAGATATAAGGGCGTTCATATCCTCTTTCTTCTCTTTCTTCCTTGTCTTTCCCCTCTTATTCGACAACTCGATCAACACAGAGGATAGCCGAGTCGACATGTCTGCTACTGTGTCCTCCACTGCCGCCGCCGTGGCCAAGACTACCGTCAGCGCTGCTAAGGCTTCGCTCAAGGCCAAGATCGCTGCTGAGAAGAAGGACATGACCGCTAGGTCTCGTGAGTGTTATCTCCCTTCTTTAGTATCCGAGCGCTGACTTTTCCTAGTTCACATGGTCTACGATGACTGGATTGGTATCGCCATCCTGTTTGGTATCTGCTGGTTCTTCATCATCCCTCGATTCATCGCTCGTGTCCGAGCTCCCACTACCCCTCGAGGCCACTCTTTGACCCGAGGCTGGTTCCTCCGCAAGGGTACCGACAAGTCTATCGACGGCACCGCCAGCGAGAGCAGCTCGCAAACGGCCACCGATGTCGGCGCCACCACCACCCCTCCCACTCACGTCAAGCCCCTTATCTCCTACATCCCCGGTGGCTCCACCTTGTTCTTCTACCGACCCTTCCAAAACTTGCGATGGGGCTTCAAGTCCTTCGCCAAGATGTACGACGTCTACCTCCTCGCCCTTTACCTCCTCCTCGTCTGCTTCACTATCGCCTGGAGGTCGCCCCTCAATCTCACGTCCTCTACTTCTGGTTACGCTGCCGACTACAAGAGGTCTGGTTACGTTGCCATTGCCCAGTTCCCTCTCTGTATCGCCCTCGGTGTGAGGAACAACATTTTTGGCTACGTTACTGGCAAGGCCTACGACAGGCTTAAGATCTACCACAAGGTTACTGGTAGAATCATGTTTGCTGCTACCATCTGGCATGCCGCCTGTTACCGTAAGTTCCGTCTACGACCGCACTGAGCCTTTCTGACGCAATCATACAGTCTACAAGTGGGTCCACAATGGTGTCTTCTACAAGAACTCTGCCAAGCAGTATGCCAGGTTTGGCTGGCTCGCTTTCGGTTCTTTCCTCATCATCATGTTTACCTCCTTGCCCTGGGTCCGAAACCGATGCTACGGTATTTTCAAGGCCGCCCACGTCATTGGCTTCATCTTGATGCTCGTCGGTTTGGGCTTCCACGTTGACCGAGAGGTCTCTGTGCCCATCACGTGAGTCTCATATCATCATCATCTTGGCCAATTGCTGACATGATCCACAGCGTCTCTTCCGGTGTCATCTACGGTGTCTCTATGATCTGCTCCCTCACCAAGACCAGGTTCGCCTCTGCCGAGATCGTTGCCCACCCCGGGTCTGATGTCGTCACCGTCACTATCCCCGCCCTCAAGACTGGCTGGAGAGCTGGCCAGCACGTCCGTCTCCGTGTCCCTGCTACTGGCGGTGTTCACTTCCTCGAGGGTCACCCCTTCACCATCGCCTCTGCCGCCGACACTGAGGGTGCCGTTCTCATGATCAAGAACACTGGTGACTGGACTCGAAAGCTTTACAAGCTCGCCGCCAAGTCTGCTGGCGATGCCGAGGCTCCCGGTGCTCCTCTCAGGACTACCGTCATCGTCGAGGGTCCTTACGGTGGTATGGGCAACACCCTTCCCGAGTCCTTCTCTTCCGTCCTCGCTGTCGCTGGTGGTTCTGGTATCACCCACTCTTTGGGTCTTGCCAGCGAGCTCATCATGGCTGCTCCTTCCGGTGCCGTCCGACCCAGGACCGTCGACCTTGTCTGGATGGTCCGAACGACTGCCATGGCCCGACCTCTTCTTCCCACCATCCACCGATTGGTCAACGAAGCTCGTGATTGGGAGGTCAAGTGCCTTGCTAGCAAGGAGCAGACTGTTCAGCCTACCGCTCTCCGAGTCCACGTTCACGTCACCCAGGCTGCCAACGCCGCCGACATTGACGTGATGAACTTCCACTCTGTTCCTGCTCTTGAGAACGAAAAGGTCAGCGTCGACGCTCCCCTCGCTCCCTCCGCCGACGCTGCCGAAGGAAACGTCACTCCTCCTGCCCTCAGCCCGGCCGATGAGGTCGACCCCGAGAAGCTTGCCTACATGACCAACCACCCCGGTTCCAACTCTCAGCTCGCTTCCACCGTCCTCTCTGGCGTTGTAATTCACCCTGGACGACCCCAGGTCGGCACCTTTGTCCATGGTATCGTCGACGAGACCATCTCTCGTCACGCCGAGACTGGCGCCAAGGCCAACGGTGTTTGCGTCGCTGTGTGTGGTCCCGATGAGCTCCTTATGGACGTCCTCAGGGCCGGCTGGCAGGTTGAGCAGTCCAAGCAGAAGGCTTGTGGTGGTTTGGAGGTCGAGGAGGAAAGCTTCGGCTTCTAGAGTGGCAAGCTGTGGTGCTGTTTTTCTCTCATGGGCTCTTTTAGATTTTTTAGATGGATTTCTTCTTTTTTGGTACATTTTGGTACATAGATATTGGCCACATCTGACGTGGGCAATGCAACAGACATATATAATGATCACATGAACAATTTGCAAACGTCATTGAGGATGTGTTGGTAAGAGCTGCAGCATTGAGAGCATTATCGATCAACAAGTGATGTGTATTTGATATCGACGCGTCGACGCGTCTGCAACGCGTATTTAATCCATCTGAGCATCTCTTGCATTCCTACAATTACCATCCACCATGGACGACGCCGACCCTATCAGCAACTTTTTCCCCCAGGTTACTGCCTCCAACCAGTCTTCCATCCTCTACGAAGCTCTCTCCCTCACTTCCGCCGCCACCCCCGAAGAGATTCGCAAATCATACCGCCGTCTCGCTCTCCAATTCCATCCAGACAAGCACTCTTCTAAGTCCGACTCTGAAAAGGAGGAGAAGGCAAAGCAATTCCAAAGGATCGGTTTTGCTTATGCCGTCCTGAGCGATGAGGGTAGGAAGAAGAGGTACGATAAAACTGGGAGGACAGACGACAAGTTTGCCGGGGCAGAGGAGATGGGCTGGGACGCGTACTTTGAGAGCTTGTACAAGCGGGTAGATAGGAAGGTGCTGGATGATGACAAGTTGAAGTACCAGGGTGAGTGTGATAATGGGGTGTATGGCTCGAGCTGACCGTGTGATAGGCTCTGATGAGGAGAAGGACGATATCATTTCCGCTTTCAACAACGCCTCTGGCTCTCTTCCTGACATTCTCTCTTACGTCCCACACTCCACGCATCATGATGAAGAGCGCTTCGTCACCCTCATAAACGAACTCATCGATGAGGGTGAGCTTGACTCCACACCAAAGTGGAAGAAGACGTCGACAGACGAAAAGGCGCGTGCCAAACGCGCGAAAGCAGGAGAGAAGGCTGCGAAGGAAGCTGAGAAGGCTGCTAAAGAGCTCGGTGTATGGGATGAGTTCTACGGAACTGGCGCCAAGGGCAAAAGGCAGGGCGACAGGGAGAAGGAGGAGGGAGGGGGTGGAGACGGGTCATTACAGGCTTTGATTCTTAAACGACAGAGGGACAGAGAAGGCGCCCTGGATGCGATGGAGGAAAAGTACCGCAAGCTGGATGAAGAGGCGAGGGCTACCAAGAAGGCCAAGAAGGGGAAAGGGAAGAAAGAGGATGCTGGAGAGCCGCCCGTGAGTCAACTAACCATTTGTCCCTTGCATTTATGAGGTGCTAATGTTGGTCTAGGAGTTGAGCGAAGCCGATTTTGAAGCCCTTCAGGCCAAGATGTTTGGTAAAAAAGACTCTGAATCCAAGCCGAAAAAGAAGTCTGGAAAAACCAAGGCTTGATCCTGGTCGTTGTGCCACTATACTGCTCGCTGTTGTAAAGTACCATCTTCCGACCCCTATGTAGACGGTCATAATCAACCGTGTTCTGCTGTTTCCGGCGTGTCGCTACTGTCTTTCACCTTTCACCAGGTAACAATTTACACATACAAATAGCACAAAACTTAATACACTGCTCGGTCATTGAGGCGCCAGTCTTTCAACGGCCCCCACCATGACCACCCAGAGCCCTGCCCTCGCCTACCATCTCTCGCGCCGCTTTCGCCCGGCTCATCCTCTGAAGTCGCACGTCCTCTTCGCCGTCTTTTCTTGCCCTTCATAGTCCGCCTGACCTCGTTTGAGTCTGAGCTCGTATCCAAGTCTTCCCACTCTGTATCGGTCGTCTCTCTTCCATCTCGCGCCGGCCGAGTTGTCGTGGTATCTTCTGCCTCCCCCTCCCCTGCTCGTGTCCTCGAGCCAGACCGCCGCGTATCGCCCAACAGCCTCTCTTCATTCAAGATATCTCCCGCCTCTCTCAACCTCCTCGCGCTCTCCTCATGCTCCCTGATCCCAAACCTCCCCAGACCCCATCCAACGTCATCACGATTGGCCACACCAGCTTCCAGCCTCGCGCTATCTCTTCCCCTGTCCGACCTATCTCCTTGCTCAAAGACCCGCTGGCGGATCTCGGCGCGCTCTATAGCAGCCTTTTTTGCAGCTTCCTGGTGCGCTCTGCGCAGACCGCGGAGATAGACGACAAGCCATGTGCTAGGGTAAGAGAAGACTTCACCGACAGTTCGCGGAGCATGGAGAGATGGTGTAGCGGATGTAGACGAGGTTTCAGAGTTTGTAGACTGCTGGAGGTTTCTGTTGGTGGACGAGCCCTCGCCTGTATGTTCGTTTGAAGGCTGAGAAAACTCGACGTGGGGTTCTCCCTCTTCGATTGAGTCGCCGGGTGTATTAGACTCGAGGGGACGGCGTCGACGGGAGAGGTCGTCCATCTCCAGGGCGCCTTCTTCCGCAAGGCTCTCATCTGTGGTAGAGCGGCGGGCTACACGGCGGGTGATGGTGCCGGTTCGAGATGAACGCAGGATCGACGTCACACCGGTGGTGATTCCATCAGCAAGCCCAGCGAACGAATTTGTCCTCGTCCGCCCCCCGAGCCCGTCTCGGCTTTTAGCATTGGCGCTCCTAGCACGAGCAGCAGCTTTCGCTTGCTTCCTCTTCTTCCTCTCTGCTTTTGCCATTATATCCTCCACCTCCCCGATCCCCATTCCACTCCCGACCCACCACCACCACCCGAGCCAGATCTGCCACAACACAGCCGCGAACAGCAGGTGCTGCAGCCAATCAATCCCATCCTCTGCAACTGCCACAAAGTTGAAACTCGTGGAGACTGTCGCCAAGAATAGAGAGCCGGCGCCGAATACGGCTGTACCGCCGTCGTTTCTCCAGGCTCGGCGGCGGTTTACAAAGATGCCCCAGATGGCAAGGGAGATAGTAAAGATGAGGAGGAGGGTGGAGTTGAAGACGTTGCGGATGGCGTCGGTGATATCGAGGACGGTTTGGTGGTTGGTGAGGGCGGTAAACACCAGGGCAGAGGAAACGAGGGCGAGGGGTCCTGTATAGGTCAGCATGTATCAGATTGACAACAGAAGCGCGACATACCCAATACAAAGATGATCAAGCGCGCCTCCGTGCGAGAAGGATACAAAAGTGTCAAGAATTGAATATGCGTGATCTTTTGCACGTATCAGCACTGCACACTTTAGAAAGTTCTCACAGACTTACATTGCTCAGGCCAGCATTCAAAGCTTGCAACAAGAACCACGCCGCATTTTGCCCCGTTGACCAGCTTGTGGGCGGTATCGTCACGGCCACATAATCCAGATCATACGGCCACTTGTCTGCTGCTGCCGTACAGTAGTTGAGAGCCACAACAAGTTTGATGATGACGCTGATCAATACAACAACGATGGAGGACAGTTGGAGAAAGTAGTTGAGCGGGGCGAGGGGATAGTGATATTGAGTTGTGACTGGGACGGGCGTTAGTGAGACCTCGGGGCGTTCACTTGACAATACTCACAAAGCAAATGTATCAATAGAACACAGAGAAGCGTCCCTGTGATACCGTTGACTACAAGCTGTATAGGCAGGCTGTACGCCAAACCAGGCTGGTACTGCAGATATGGGTCGTCGAGGAGTATCCCACTTGATACGGTCGACATGGCGCGCGACGGGGGGTATGTCGAGGATTATTGAGAGGATATGGCGTCTCCTCCCATCCTTGAGTAGCTGGGGTGTTCCGGGGAATGATACGCTGATGATTGACGTTATAGAGTCGCTTCATGCATTCCAGTCCGACTTGGAACCAAAGCTTAAGTCGCCGCTTGACGGCAGAGTGCCTTACGTAACTCCTTTCAGCCTCTTCGACGAAGAACCCGGAACAGCGAAGATGAGTTCAGCTCCAATTCGAATTCAACAACCTTTCCAGCAACCTGCAAAATGTCTCGCGTAGCTCAAGGAGAAGTCATCCAAGATGTAAGTCAGATGTGCGGTATATTGATCCCTACTCCAAGCTGACAGATGAACAGTTCCTCGACGGTGGTAACTACATCCGAGGTTCGCCCTTCAACGTACAATCAAGATCCATCTGACAGTGCTTACAGATAGATTATTCAAATTTCTAGATTCCACCAAGGAGAGATGGGATACCAAGGAAGAAGGCCAGAAGGCTCAGAAGGCACTGGAAGCGTTGGAAGTCAGCAAAAGTGCGAATGATGTCAAGGCTGAGGATGTCGACTACATTGTAAGACGCACCATACCCGAGATGTGTTTGAAGTTTTGCTGACCTGGATATGTGCAGTCCAATCAGACAGGCATCTCAAAGGAGGACGCTCGAGCGGCTCTGATAGAGGAGAAGGCCGACTTGGTGAAGGCCCTGTTGAAGAGTGTGCAGCCTAGACCGAGGGCGAGGTCTGTGGACGGCGGTGCCATCCCCAAATAGATCGTAGCAGAGTCAACGATGTACAGTATCCCATGTGCTCCGAAAGTCGACCCCGCTCGCACACATTACTGATCGCAGCAAGATGTCGAGTTTCAGCAGGTCAAGAAGACTATTACACAACATACATGTACAGTTTCCCTGCTGGGAGCTCTAACCGCCACTAGTAGACCTCTTCTAGATACCCTTGAATGACCAATCTCTCTACTTGACTCCGTTCTAGTCTGAACCTCTGTCCTTTGCGAAAGTCCACCCTTTCTCCACTATCCAAGAACACTTCTCCAGCATCCTTTACGACCCTCACATCCACCATCAGCTCCCCGGGCGGCTTTTCAATCCCTGCCGTGAGGTCAAGGACATCCAGAAACTCGCTCTTGTAATCGAGCAGGAGGCTGTTGTACCCTCTCATAAAGTCGAGTTCCTGTGGACTCAACGCCGAACGAAGGTCCGGTGCGTCCGCTTCGGGGTTGACGTTTGCGCTCGCTGCAGGACTCAGGAGGTATGCCAGCCCTCCTCCGGCGTCCCACCATCGCTCTTTGATCCCTCCGACTCGGGTCATGAGATATGCCAACAAGCAGCGTTTGTTCCGTCGCGCTGCCAGATGCTGGACAGTGAGGTTGCACACCAGGCCCCTATCCTGGGTGAGAGACATGGGACCATGGTTCTCGGCGATGGCCGTTATTGACGCTCCCAGTTGACGGGTCTCGAGACAGATGGAGAGGATGAGGGGCAGGGCGTATTTCGGCAGGGGAAGTTGTGGTGTGGTCGCGAGGGTTGTGCGGTGGGAGGCTGTGACGAGCTGGAGCGCGAGGTCGCCGTACATCTACGACAGTCAGCTTCTACCCCTCGAGCATGCTGCCCGACCCACTTTAGCTGTATGCGGTCGCTGATGCCTCAAGAACGCGTTTGAAGGAGATTTACGCGATACGCGTGAACGCGTCTGGGACAGGCGGCGGGCGCCGACGGAGTTATTCCCGATCAATTTGCTCCCGTCCCCGTTGTACTGCCGTTCTCCACCCACCCGGTGATTTCTTCAACCACCACAAAAAACAGTAGGGCTTCCATCCTGCTGTCCTTGTGCCGTTGCTCATCCTCTACAGCCATGTTCCGATCTCTCCGTGCCACCTCCAACATCGCCCGCCAGGCTGGTAAGTCCCATCTAGCCAGCGAGCCATTCCAGCGAAAACGCCCTCGCTATAGCCGCATCAGTAACCATTTCATGCTGACGCGAACGTCTGTAGCTGCCCCCCGTGGCTTTGCTTCCTCTTCCGTCGCCCGGAGCTACGAGGACACCATCAAGAACATCCTTGTTAGTGAGTGCTATCTCTCTGTCGGCATTGCCATGCGTCGCCAGGGTGGAGGTCTGTTCGGCCGGTCAACTGTTGAAGACTTTGCGTTCCAAACGGTCTAATTCCGCAACGAGGATGCGAGTCATCAGTTTGATGGGCAGTGATGGTGCCGAGAACTGCACGGTCTGCCCTGCTCCAACGAGCGATGGCTCTGCTGGGTTTTTCTCAGATGCCAAACTTGCAGAGTATGGTTTAATGGCCTGAGCCATCTCTGTGACGGCTTTGCTTGCAAAGTCTAGCGCCTCTCAGACTGGGACTCTGTCCGTCTTCGGAGAGGAGACGGCTGTGAACCTTGCAGGACGAGGGCGCGTTTTGAGATCTTGAATCTATACTGACTCGTCTTCCATAGACAGGGACACCAAGGTTCTTGTGCAGGGTTTCACCGGAAAGACTGTGAGTCCTCACTACGCCCCCACGACGATCTTCTGACCATGTCTCAGGGTACTTTCCACGCCCAGCAGGCTATTGACTACGGAACCCGAATGATCGGTGGTACCAACCCCAAGGCAAGTCGTCTTCCTATAATTCTACGATACTCCCTAACTCCTCTATAGAAAGCTGGCCAAACCCACCTCGGTCTCCCCGTCTTTGGCTCCGTCAAGGACGCCGTCCGAGACGTCCAGCCCGACGCCTCCGTCATCTACGTTCCCCCCGCCTTTGCTGCCGACGCCATCATCGAGGCCATTGAGAACGAGATCAAGCTCATCGTCACCATCACTGAGGGTATCCCCCAGCGAGACCAGATCAGGGTGTACCAGGCTTTGAAGAGCCAGAGCAAGAGTAGGATGATTGGTGGTAACTGCCCTGGTATTATTGCCGATGGTTGTAAGATGGGTATCATGCCCGGTCACATTTTCCAGCAAGGAAAGATCGGTGTCGTCTCTAGGTCTGGAACGTGAGTTGTAAACGAGAGATGATGATGCGGACGACTTTTGACATTTGACATAGTTTGACCTACGAAGCCGTCAACCAGACCACCCTCGTCGGCCTTGGCCAGTCCCTCACTGTCGGTATCGGTGGTGACCCCTTCCCCGGAACCCAGCACATTGACGTCGTCAAGGTCCTCCTTGCCGACCCCAAGACTGAGGGTATCGTCCTCATCGGTGAGATTGGCGGTTCCATGGAAGAAGAGGCTGCTGCCTACCTCGAGGCGCACAACAAGAACTCGGCCAACCCCAAGCCTGTTGTCGCCTTCATCGCCGGTAGGACTGCTCCCCCCGGTAGGCGAATGGGTCACGCCGGTGCGATCATCTCTGGTGGTAAGGGTGCGGCCAGCGATAAGACCGCTGCCCTCCAAGCGGCGGGTGCTATCATTGCCGACAGCCCTGCGCAGATCGGTGACTTGATGTTGAAGGCCATGAAGGCTGCTGGCAAGGCCTAAACGGTGTAGACTTTTTTTAGAAGAGCGTAGTAATCAGCGGATGCTATGACACAATGACAAAACACTACCTGAAGTTGCAAGACAAGTACAAGATTCATCATTAGATATCCTTACTCTAGATGACAACGTTGCACGCAAAATACTAGAAAGCTAGAAAAAAAAAAAAACACCTCAAGAAAAGACAAGCTCATGTGTACATATCGCCCCGAATACCATCCGACGCCCCGCTCACCCTCCGGCTTCCGTCTTGGCTTCCTGTTCTGCTCTCCCCGCTCCCGGCCGCACTCGCAGGTGCGGTCCCATTGGCAGTCCCGCCATGGCTGCTCATCTCTTCCGCCAGCTCCAGCCGTTGCAGCATACCCGGCGCCAACGCCAAAGTGCTCAAAAAGGTGTCGTTCATCGGTGTAGCAGCTTCAGACGAAAAGTTGGCGTTGGATGCGCTTTCGGCAGCGATGGGTTGGAGGATGGGCCGAGGACCGGTTGAAGGCCCAGTGGAGGTGATCGACATCTCTTCGTTCTCGGGTACGGTTGCTATGGCGGGGCCAACCTCGAACGGATTGTTGGTCAGAGGTGGATCGGGTTCCGCCACGACCGTGTCCTGTCTGGTCAAAGTAGCGACCGGACTCAGTGTTTCATTCCCGGTAGGCGGTAAGAGTTCATTGACGGCAGCCGAGCTTTGAGAACCAGTGACCACGCCTGTGCTAGTGCCGTTTTCTGTGGGAGGCCCAGCGGGTATGGGTGGAGCAGCGTTGACGGCAGCGGCGGCTGATGGGATGATGGAGTGGTTGGACGGTCTGCGAGAGATGACGGATGCGCGGCGGGAGGCAATCTCCCAGGCGTCTTCTGTCTCGACGTCTTCCTCCAGATTGGCAAACGTACGCTTAATCATGGTCAGTGAATGTCATTGCCGAAGCGAGAGGACCTACACAAAGCGGACATGAGAATGCGGGATAATGCTGCATCAATAACGGTCGGATACACTTGTAGTGGAAGACATGCGAACACGGTCTGCTCACTCTGTCAGCGGATGTATCTTTCGCAATAAAACATACTTACGCGATGAATAAAGATTGACAGACTGTGACTGAGTACAGACAGATGCAACAGTCGGTGACACTAGCCTTCTGCTTTTTCCCCGGCGTGGCAGCCCCCTTGGGAGTCTCTGGGACGGCCGAGTCTCCGCCGCCCAAAGCCTTTATCTGCTTTAGAGCATTCGTGCTAACAAAGTGTCAGACCACTTCTTCCTGAACATCAGAAACAAGACTCACTTGAACTCGTTGGCACCTCTTTGCCACTCTCGCCCTATCTCCACCCTCATCTTGACACATTTGAACATCTCTTCTGTGCCTCCTTGAAAGTCGACACCAAGCTGAAGTATATCCCCGTCCTGAACAGTTGTTAGTCGGGCTCCTTTGCCAAATTGAATACTCACTTTGATCATCATGGGGCGAGATTCGACATTGGGGCTCGACAGTCGGATGTGGTTCAAGAACGTCCCGGAGCTACTCTTGGTGTCTCTGATCCAGAACTAGCCAGCGTCAGTCCCGTTCCATCAATCAAACGCACACTCACCTTGCCGCCTTCCTCGCACCAGATCTCCGCATGACTTCTACTGACGACCTTGCTTCTGAACGCTGCCTTCCCACTCGTCATCTCCCCACCACCCCCTGCGATACTCAAGTTTGCGGGCGCCGAGTGCGGAATGTCCGGATTCAGTGCACCCTCCCCTCCAATTCCCCCCGATCCGCCCCATCCCCCGTTGGCCCCCGCGCTGGAAGCGGGCTGGGGTACAGGCAACCTATCGCCCCGGTCCGTAAATCGGCCGATCTTGAGCACCAGCGCTACGGGCTTGCCTCTCACGGTCGCTCTTGCTGCGCCGCCAGTGGTGCTCATAGATCCACTATCGGCTACCCGGCTCCCAGCCTCTATCGGGGTGGTACCGGGGTGACCAGTGACAGCGACAGGGTACATCTCCCGGATGACGGGGTCAAAGGGCAAAGAACGGCGGGATTCGAGGTGGGGGACTAGACGGATACGGAATGTCTTGATGTCGGGGCGAGCATTGGAGCCGGGGTCTGTGGAGGCGGGAGCAGGGGAAGAGTTGGATGAAGATGAGGCATTGTTGAAAGGGTTGGATGGGGCGGAGGATGAGGAGGGGTCTGAGGTGCTGGTGGTGGGGGCGGCAGCGGGGCGGGCGGTGTTGGATGCGCCTAGAATTGGCATGGTGTCAGTGGGATATCATTCAAAAAGGCAGGTTGAACGTTGAATGCAAGAGAAGATGGAATGTAGAGATGAGAAATCAATGCGCTCGGGCCCCCGCCTCTTCTTCTACATTGCCACATCGAGCATATGGATGGACTTACTTGTTCCGCTCAGCGGGGTGCTGACAGTCCGGGTCACGGCTCCCCCGGTCGACGCCTCAGCACGCCCCGGTGCGCTCTGCTCTCTTGCCCCGGCGCCTCTGGCAGCCGCGTCTAATGACGCCGACGTGGTCGTCTGCGAGTTGCCATTGCTGGGAACCGCGGCCGCACGTTGCTCCATCGTGACCGATCTGCCCCTAGTGCGCATGAAGCCGAGAAACGAATGCCTGGGCGATGCGGGCGACGTAGCCAGTGCGCCCGTTTGCTGGCCCGGCGGGGTGCTAACGGGTGAGCGGGGAGGGCTGTAAGACGCCCCATTCGCGGGCAAGGCAATGTGGAGGGGGCGGTCGTGGCGAGACATGGCGGCGTCTATGATGGCCTCGGGTGGATGGGATTCGTCGGATGCGATGACAGGAGGAGGGACAGATGGATCGTGGAGGGTATCTGTGCTGGCACCGGGACCAAGCGTGCCTCGGGACCAGGATAAGGGGAGGGGCGGACGGGCGTCGAGTTCGGGAGGGAGAATGTATTCGCCAGTCTCCTCGTCGATGGGAAAGTAGTGCTGGCCTTCGCTCGCGTGAATGGAGCCTCTACTATGTGACCTGCCTAGAGGTAGAATACGATGAAGAAGTTTGTGGCTGTGGTTCCGCGAAGAAGCACTGGGCGGCGTGGAGGTGGAGCGTGGGGTGGGGGCGTGCAAGATGCTGAGCCGCCTTGACTGTGAGCGTGGCTCGTGGATTGCTGGGCTTTCGATGGCAGCCGCAGGGGTGGTGAAGAGGTATTCTGACCACGAGACGGCCGATGGAGAGGAGAATGTCGCTGTGTTTCCAGAGCCCCGCGTCGACGTCGGCGGGCCGGCGGATGACCTGTGTGATCTTGTTCCGCTGTCGCCCGAGTGGTTGGCCTGCAGAGCACCGAGGGTGATCAAGCTGTTGTACCGGCTCTGCTCTTCTCGGTCTCGCCTTTGCGCGGCTTGAATCTGCGAGAGGATATCCGGATTGAAGTCGTAGATGACTGTAGTTCCCCTCAGCATCTTGTCCCTTCAGTGGATGATATGCAAGTTGCGGAAAGGGATATATGCACTCACCTGGGCTATATAAGCACTGCCTTGTGGGAACGTGGGAAGGCCGGGCGGGCTATGACTGTACTCGCTGCGTATGGACGCCGTGTCACCCACATGCAACAACGACAGCCGTCTTCCTGCCCTGGTCGCTGTAACGCTGCACGCTGCTCGCTTTTGGGGTGGGGGACTGTGCTAATTAGGTTGGGGGCCTTCCTTCGAGCTCGGTGTATCGACTGTCGCCAGCTGGAGACTGGATCTGTTCTTGTGAATGCAAAGAGAAATGGGCGTCGTTGCTCCACCCTCGGGACCATGTACCTCTTGCTCTTGGCTTAACGTGATACGGTCCATTTCTGCGAACGGTCCGAGCCGATTCGGAGCTTCGGGTGTGCCTCTGCTGCGTATGTCTTTCCGGCTTCAACGTCTCTTCGAGCGATCATGCCCCCGATCTCATATATAAACACCTGTCCCGTTGTTGGCGTCGTTCTGAGTCACTTCTGACCGTCCAGCTTCTCAATCAGGGCAACCCGGACAGGGCACGCCGAGACAGCTGTAGGGCGATCATCCGTGGTGACCACAGGCCGAGTGGAGAAAGCGTGGGTACTGTGCACCGATCATGGCAACGTCACGGCGACGTACACAGATAACAAAGATATGAAAGTATCTGTTTATTGTGCTCAGAGTTCCAATATCGCTATGCAACATCTGTGGGAGCCACTGTCAGATCTCATAGCAGTTCACGCCGTGCGATATCGGGTAGCCGAACTGGTGGTCCGGCAACTCACTTGATAGCATGGTTGGAGGACATGACGAGAAGCGACCCTCGATGCATTCAAGTGGCCTCTGCTCCTAGGCATAGCGTATGGCCACAAAGCGTGAATGTATCGGTGCTTATCTTATCCAATCAGCCATCTCAACGCCACACGTCTGTGCCACTTGAGCACTCTCAATGACATCAAGCTAGTCACTGACTATCCGTCGTGTTTCAGGAGAAGCCACCAGAACTTCATACATGACTTCTCAGAAGTACAAGTATACATAGTCTCATGGGACAACATGTAATTATGCATGCAGAAAAGTGATAGGTCAGTGGAGAGGTGCTTATGTAACGCGGCTACCACTCCGGCGGGCGGCGTGGACGCATTGCAGTCGTGCTTTGTTGGCATCTCATCCTCTCTCCCTCCCTCCCTACAAGTCTGCTCAAGACGGATCTGGATCACCCAACATGGCCTTCCAATCGCCACTCATCGCCATACCCCGCAAGACCACCCAGGACGTAGACTGGACAGGACCCATCCGGCACGTCATCGCTGCCTCCTACGGCGAGGATCCCAACGCGTACCAGGAAGAATGCTCCGTACTGCAGAGAGTAAGGCAGGATGCAGTGAGGGGTGCCGGAAGTGATTTCACCGGTACGTGAATGCTGTCAAGAGAGAATAAAGGGAGCTGACAACAAACAGGCCGTGATCTGCTGTACAAGTACTTTGGACAATTGGAGCTGCTCGAGCTGCGCTTCGCCGAGATCAAGGTTTCATTTGCATGGTGAGTATACATACCTCAATATTCTGCTGCGTTGAAGCTGACCGTTTGAAGGAATGATGCCTTTACCACCAAGCTCACCACCCAAACATCTCTGGCATTCGAGAAAGCCTCCATCATCCACCTCATATCGGCCATCCTCTCTTCCATCGCCCAAACATGTTCCCGTTCCGACCCCGAAGGCCTCAAGCGAGCCTACTACAACACCCGAGCATGCGCAGGCATGCTGACCTATATCAACGAAAACTTTCTACACGCCCCTTCAACAGATCTGGGCAGGGAGGTTGTGCATCTGCTGATAGGGATCATGATGGCGCAAGCTACAGAGATCTTTACTGAGAAGTTGATTGAGGAGAAAAAGTCGCCTGCTTTGGTATCGAGGTCGGCAAACCAGACGGCTTCTTCCTACAGCGCTGCTGTGGAAGAGATGAAGGAGTTTCAGGGGAAGGGCGTTTTCGACAGAAACTGGCTCTATGTCTTGCAAATCAAGAGCAAGCTCTTTGCCAGTATCGCTCAGTATTACAAGGGTACAGCAGACAATGCTGCTGGCAAACACGGCGCGGCCCTTGTGCGGTTCAGGCTCGCCGATACCCTTGCCCAAGACGCTCAACGCCAATCTTCATCGTTCAACTACACCTTTGTGGCCACTGCCACACCATCCCTCCCAAACGACGCAGGGAGCAATCTCCACGAGATCGTCAAAGCCCATGCGACTCTAAGCAAAGAGGCCAAAGAACAGGCTACGAAAGACAACGACCTCATCTATAACGAAGTCTTGCCTTCCGAAGCCAGCTTGCCAGCCATCGAGAAACTCCCGCCTTCGCCCCCCATCACTATTCAGGAAGTGTATGCCAACCCTGAAGTCACAAGACTTATCGGGCCCGATATCTTTATCAAACTTGTGCCTCTAGCTGTGCATGAGAGCGCCAGTGTCTACTCGGAAGAGAAGGCAAAGCTCGTAAGAGCAGAGGTCGAGAGGGTAGAATTGTCCGAAGGCGAGATTCGGGCAGCACTCGATCATCTCGGGCTCCCTGGAGAGATTTTGAAATGGCGAAAGATTGTCGAAGACGATTCGCCTCAGGGGGAGGTGGAGCTCAGCAGAGAATTGAGGCAGTTGGTGGACACCAGTGGAGATGCGAGGAATGTCGAGAGAGAGCTGTCTAGATTATCCAATGAAAGAGAACGGTGCGAGAGGGAGCTGCGGGAATTGAACTCGGCTTTGGACAATGAGAGTCGGGAGTGTGAGCGTATGCGGGTAAGTCGACAAGACACAGTGGTAGATACATGCTTATCAAAATATAGGCCAAGCATACACCCCAATTCACCCAGTCTCCATCAGGTCCCCAGACTTCCAATCTCCGTTCAAACATCTCTGCCAACCTCTCTGCCCTCTCCTCCGCTGCGGCGTCCGACTCACAACTTTCCTCTCTATACCAAAGCGTCCAACCCGCCATCGCTCTCTTGTCTTCCGGACAAAGCCAACTTGAAAGCATCGCAAGCCAAGTAGCCAAGGGCAAGCCGCAGAACGCCGAGGACCGGGGTATAAGTTTGTTGGATCTGCAGGACGAAGATGAAGGGCAGGGTGGGCTGTCCGCGGAAGAGAAGGAGAGCTTGCAGAGGGCAATAAAGGAAGGCACTGAGAAGCTCGAGAGATTGGGCAAGATCAGGAAGGAAAGGGACGAAGTGTTGAAGGACTTGAAGGAGAAGGTCAGTCTTGATCTGGATACGTGGTGTTGTTATACTGACTCCTGGGTAGATCCAGACGGACGACGTATCAAACCTTCTCCTCCTTAATCGCCGCTCCTCGAATGTGGAGCCACAACTCTTTGCCTCTGAACTCGAAAAGTTCCGTCCTTATCAGACCCGTGTTGCTGCTGCTTCCTCGGCTGCGAAATCCTTGACTCAAGAGCTCGAGATGCTCATTGCCCAAGTCCAAAGAGGAAGAGGAGTAAAGGACCTGTCGAGAAAGGACAAGGAAAAGAGCAAGAGGGTCGGGCAGTGGGAGAAGGGATTGATCGAAGCTGGGGAGAGTCTGGCCGAGATTCGGGCCGGACTGGGCAAAGGGCTGAGCTACTATGAGAGTTTGGCGCGTGTCATTGAGGATCTCAAGCGAGAAGTTCGCGGCTTTGTGAGCTCGAGAGATCAAGAGAGGAGCCGAATGGTCAGTGAGATTGAGGCCCGGCAACGTTTGGGCGGTGCCGCATCTCCGAGCACATCAGGAACCAGAGGATTGGAGGAGAGGCTGTCAAGCTTGAGTATGGGTGCGCCCCCACCTCCTTCTCGACCTGGCGCTTCTTCGGCGACCCCTACCCTTCCTGCCCCTCCTTCTCAATCGGCTCCGACACCTCATTACCCGCCCCCGCCCCCACCACCAAAATCGAATCCTTACGATTTTTCGAGCTTGGGGGGTTCTTCGGCATTCTCATCAGCCGCTGCCCCTAGTCCGCCTGCTCAGCAGCAGAGGCAAGGTTCATACGGCCTGTATGGGTATGCATCCCCAACATCCCCATCTCAGGGAGCGCAGCCCCAGCAAGCGACGCAGCCCTTGCAGAGTCCTTATCCTCCCCCACCTTCGCAGCCTGCGAGACCGGCCACTCAGACGTATGGGTCTTATACCGCTCCTCAGGCTGTCTATTCTGCACCTCCGTCTCAGCCGGGGTACACTTCCCCTCCCCCTCAGCAAAGTTATGCGCCACAGGGGTATGGTCAGTCTGGGTATCAACCTCACCCCCCATCTCAGCCCCAAGCCCAAGGGCAGGGGCAGTACTACCCACCCCCGCCAACACGTCCGGCTTATACCTCCCCGCCGCCCCAGCAGCCATCTTACGGCGGCTATGCTCCCCCCACATCTGGCTATGCTTTCCAGGCCCCTTCGGGCTATACTCAGCAGCCACAAGGGTATGCTGCACCTCCTCAGGCTCAGCCACAGCCACAAAGCCAGACTCAAGGGCAGCAGCACGGCTATCAGGCTTATGGTCACTCGAATTCCCAGCCTCAACAGCAGCAGCAACAGGGAGGGTATCCTCAGTACCGCTAGGCTTTCACAGATGGGTATCAGGCAAGTGAGGAAAGAACATTTGTAGACAGTATCACAATACCAGGGGTATAACGACAATGCATGATCTCTATCACAACGCTGAGGGACAATTGCTCAGAGCGTAGCCGCGAAGCTTCTTGTGAATCATACAATGCATACATGTATGGCGTTGGACTTGCTCATGGGCACCACCTTCGCAGTCATCCATGAATGAGTTCCATTATGGAAGATACATAAAGATGTGCTGTGTGCATCGTGCGTGGGGGTATACAGTGGGCATACAAACTGCATCCTTCCGGCCGCTTCGTTGAAGGATGCCCTGATTCCGATTCCCGCTTTCTCCACGGCGGAAGGGAAGAGGGAAATCGGCCGCTCCCACAACTCGGTGAACGAAAGTCGCTTCGCTCGTCCCAATAGGGACACCTAAAGTGTCATCCCGAAGGATGTTTGGGTGGGGACTTTCAAGGACGGGAAAAGGAGGAGATAAATGAGGAGAATAATGGAACTCAACCATCCACACGGAGCAAAGGACCCCCTTCAATCAACTAGCTACCCCTGGCTGACTGCATCTGTATACTCTCGGTCATCCGCTTCCAGCTGAGAGGAGGTGCTTTGTGTGAATCCGGCGGGGGTGGAGAGCACAGCAGTGGATGAAGAGAAACATGATATAAGGGCTGCTCGTGGCTTTCCCTTTGTTCATTCCCCATCAACTCTGAGAATCACCTTCTCCAGCCACCAAGCCAGCGCATATCCACTACCATTATACTTTACCATCAACACCTGACTTCGCCTTTGTTTTGACTCTCCCCTTCTTTCAACAACACACAAAAGAAGCAAAGCAATGAACGACTTTTGGACATCTCACGGGTTTGTTTCTACTCCCGAGACGACGGATACAGGTAGCCGTAAGTCAAAGCCCTACAATGAACCAACTCGTGCTGAACTTTTCAAAGAAGACTACTTCCAGCCGCAGCAGACTTTCCACCCCCGGCCCCTCCAGCAACACTTCTTCCAGGCTCCTACCCATCCCCAGATCCAGCTCTCTCACGTCCACCCCCACGTTCTCCGTACTCAGCGCTCGACTTCTTCTCTTTCGACCTGGTCCACCGTGACCTCTTCCTCGGACACCCAGTCCTCCATCTCCGACTTTGAAGATGACGCTGCATCCATCAGCACCTTTCCCACCAGCATCGCCCCCCAAAGCTTGAGGAGCGTTCGCAGCCATGGCTCTACCGGAAAGACTCCGAGTCTTTCGATAGATCCCAAGCTGTTCAGGCCTCTCGAGAATGGGGAGAATGGCGGAGGTGACGAGATGCTTGAGACTGCTATTCCTCGGACTGCTCGTCGGGCTCCTGCTCCTGCGCCTCGTGCTCCAGCTTCCGAGGCCAGCAGTTCTTCGGGATCGCCGCCCGCAAAGGCGAATGGTAAAGACGGCAAGAAGAAGACCAGCCATGCTAGAAAGGTGAGTCAGCTTCTCGTCGTCAGTGAGCATGATCTGACATACGATATAGCAAAATGCCGACCACATTCCCCGACCTCGGAATGCTTTCATCCTGTTCCGGAAGCATGTCGTGGACGCCAAGTTGATTCCCACTTCTGTCGAGATGAGACATCAAAACGTCAGCATCATCACCGCCAAGATGTGGAGTGAGGTAAGTGTCTTCACCTTTCGGCTGGGTTTGAGCTTACCTTCGGATAGGCACCTCCTGAGCAAAAGGCCCACTTCAACGAGCTCGCCCGAATTGAGAAAGAAGAGCACTTGAAGAAATACCCCGGCTACCGCTACCAGCCTGTCTACCGCCGCACCAACGTCATCCGCCGTCGAGTCCGCAAGGACGAGGCCGAAGAGGAAAAGTGCAAGAACATTGCGGAGCTTTTGTCGAAGGGCAAGAGCGGCGAGCAGTTGGAGGCCGAGATCAAAGAGAAACTTGCGAATGAGAAGACTAAGAAGAAGTGAGTCCAAGACAGCGAGGAGTAGAAAATTACTGACAACATGACCAGGAGCCAAAGCAGGAAGAAGGACAATGCTGCCGCCAGCGAGCTTTCTAAGGGCGCTCTTAGGGCTTTGCGGGCTCAGGCTCGACAGCGCCAACACCAGGCATCAGGCGACTGGTCTGACGTCTCCCGTGCTACTTCCATCGACCCCGATACCAGGAGCATCAGCACTCGTCGGTCGAGCGTCTTTACCCAGCAGTCCCAGTCGCCTGAACCCCATGCTTTGGCCTATGGCTTAGGCCAGGACCAGCAGAGCATCGGTGGTAGCGATGGGATGGCCTACACGCATCCTGGGTTCGGTGATATCCCTATGGAAAGCCAGCAATTCACTTGCCCCATCAGTACCCAGGGCACCTACAGCCAATCTCCACAATCCTTCCCTTCTGAATCCCACCAGCAATTCCTCTACCCTCAGCCGGATTCCCAATTTCACCCTTCCTTCCCCCAACATAACCAACAGGACCTTGCCGGAGAGTTTTACTCTCACGACACTGCTCTTCCCTTCTCTCCCTCTATCTCGCAGTTCACCTTCTCTGCCTTCTCGAGTTCGTCTTCGCATGACGTCGCGATGGACGCCAACAGCTTCTCCTTTGACATGTTTGGCGTGTCGCATGCGAGTCAGCAGCAGGATCTTCAGCCGCCCATATCAGCAAGGTGGGACAAGGGGCACTTGTTGCCTCCTTCGAGCGATGTACCGCTGGAGAAACTGCCTTTTGATGATGGTATGATGATGGGCGATTTCGAGGCCGCTCTGGCGCAGGCCGACGAGTTTGTAGCGTGGTAACCACAGGTTAGAGACCGAGTTGATTGTACTACCTGTATGCTGAGGCCGATATTGATTGTTATACCCATGCATCGCATTGACTTACCTCCAGTGCAGTTGCAGAATGGACAGCGAACATCGGGTGGTCAATGTCTTGGCTGTAAGAGGCTGTGCTGCGAATTTCTAATGATCGTAATGAAATATTGTAATGCCGTGCCTGAAGCTTGTAATGAATTCGCGCAGTACGTCACCAGAAGCATCCCTACACCCATTCTAATCCTCTCTCTCTCTTTCTTCTCCACAATCCCACCAGGTAGTATTCGTGGCCCATCGTCTAGCATCCCCCATCGCCCTCGCCGCCCCGGCCAAAGCACTCTCCACCACCAACTTTGCACGACACCACTCCAGGGCCCAGGCCTCAGTCACACAGTCGCGTCCGTCCCTCCCATTTCTCGACCCTCAGAGCTCCCCGATAGCTGTGGCGCTTTTTTCTTCGCCCTTCGTATCGCATCTTACTTGTCAGTGCTGGTCTCTCTCTGACAAGATAACAGTTGAAGCTGACGCGTGTTTCTCGCCTGTTCACCCTCCACAATCCTCGTGTCCTGCCGTTACACCCTTTGGAACACAACTATCACAACATCAACAGATCGACAAGGCATCTTCCGCTTCGCCTTCTGTTCTCTGCAGTCCATTTCAACTCCCACCTGTCTCATCTGTGTGCTAGACAGCCACTTGTGATATACTTCACCAGCTCTTCCCCTAGAGCGCCATACTCCACCTAGGCGAAACAAACAGAACCCACAATGGGAAAGTCTCAATCCAAACTCTCCTCTGAAGAGCTCGCCGAGCTCCAAAAGAACACTTACTGTAAGCCTGATCATTATCCACTGCTTGGTGTCGCTGACATACCCCCGCAGTCGACAAGAAGGTGAGATTTTGTACCTGTGATGGTCGCTGAGGTCACGGTTCGGCGGGGCTGGACTTGACCTTGATTGTTGGAAAACTACATGAGAACGCACGCTGACTTCTCTGTCATTGTTATAGGAGCTCCAACAATGGGTAAGCAGAATGGCTCGTCTTAAAGGTGCGAGCTAACGACAATTGCAGTACAAGGGATTCCTCAAGGACTGTCCCAGCGGCCAGCTGAACAAGGAAGGTGAGTAATGGCTCTCGGGCAGGACTGGTCCGTAGTGCATCCGATCACTGACGGGCACTGTGCAGAGTTCAAGAAGATCTATCGTCAATTCTTCCCATTCGGCGATCCGAGTCAATTCGCAGACTATGTGTTCAATGTGCGCCTCCATCCGGCTACTCTTTGTCCAGCCGCTGACCGAACGTTCCAGGTGTTTGACGAAGACAAATCCGGCACAATAGAATTCAAAGAATTCATCTGCGCCCTCTCCGTCACCTCTCGTGGTCGTCTCGACGAAAAGCTCAAATGGGCTTTCCAACTGTACGACATCAACCAAGACGGGTTCATCACCTACGATGAGATGCTGCAGATTGTGAGGTCGATATACAAGATGACTGGGCAGATGGTGCAGTTGCCCGAGGATGAGGACACGCCCGAAAAGGTGAGTCTCTCCTTTTGTGAGACAAGCAGAAGCAAGACTGATGGGACCCGTAGCGAGTGGACAAGATCTTCCGCAACATGGATGTCAACAAGGACCACCAGTTGACTTACGACGAGTTCAAGGAGGGATCCAAGCTCGACCCCACAATCGTCCAGGCCAGTGCATCGACTCCTTTCTATAACACACTTGCTGACTGGCGTGTAGGCGTTGTCGTTGTACGATGGTTTGGTGTAAGGCTCAAGTGTCTACCTGTAACAGAGTCATTGTACATGGATTCTCTATAGATGAGGTGCCGGTGATTGGTCTATGTTGGCATCTTGCCTCTCTCATGTTCTCGAGAAATATCTTTACCGAAAAACACAAAGGTCATGTACCAAGGTCTCACCAGACATTGTCTCATCTATCGTCTGGTCTGGTCTAGCTGATGTTGCATATCATGTCTATCATCTAACTCGTCTACTATCATATATCACTCGCAAGACAATAACCAGTCTAGTGCTGCCCCTCATTGATTATAGAGCTCTGTGCGCATCCCCCTCAATAGTTTAATGCCCCATCACCACCTTCTCCCTACCCTTCTCCATATCATCTTCGACCTCTTGCTTCCTCGGGTCCCGATAAAACACCAAAAACATGATCAACCAAACCCCACACCACCCAAGCTCAACCCACCAAGACACCTGCAGGTTCTTAAAGTTGTGAATACCATCAGGAAAGACGGTGAAGAGGCCGGCTTGAATACCGAGGGCGATGGCGTTACCGAGCTGGACAGAGACTTGGATGACGGCTCCTGCGACGCCGGCGGACTCGGGTGGGACCGTTGTCATGACACCAACGCTAATGAACATGTCAGACCCAGGACAGAAGGAGAGAGTGTAAACTCACTTGTTCATATTGAACAATGCCATACAGGCGCCAGGACCGATGATGTAGCCCGGCAAGAGATACTTCCAGTACCCAAGGCCGGTGTAATCTTTGGCATAGATGAAGAGCAAGTTGGCGCCTATGGCACAGCCCAAGCCCAGAGCGACTGTGATACGCGGACGTGCCGTCATCTGAGGGAATCTGGCGGCTAGGATGGTGACTGTTACAGCCATAATCGGTTGGGGCAATATTCGCACCGACGCCTTCAACGACGATTCTCCCTTTACCGAGATGAATGTCTCAATCCACGGCAGCTGTTCCACCGCGAACCAACCTTGGATCAGCAGGGCAAACACGATCCAGAGGGTAAAGTTGGGATATCGCCAGAAGTGGGGTGGGAGGAGGGCATGGGTGGTGGGTAAGCGGGATTCGTGCCAGATGAAGAATGGGAAAAGGAGCAAGGAGATGATGAGGGGGGCGATGAAGCCGGCAGAGGCCCAACCGTTGGTGGCGCCGAGAGTGAGGGCAAGGATGATGCAGACGATGGCGACGAGCATTCTTTGACCATGGTCAGCGTATCTCTGGAAAGTATAGGTGATAATTCACGATAGAGATCCGATGAGGTCGAGCCGCTCCCCCTTGTTCTTTACATCCGCATCATGCCCCCTGATTTTTGGGATCCACTTGAGAGACCCGATAGAGACTGGAATGATGAGAACCGCCATCAAGCGGAAGAACCACCTCCACCCAGCCATCTGTCCAGTCGGCTGAATGAGCTGAAGGAGACCGGCCACGATGTTGCCCGTGGTGGCCGCGATAGCCCCCGCCATGCCATACAGGGTAAATGCCTTCTTGAGCTCGTGTGGCTCAAAGATACCGGCAATGAGACGGAAAGCCGAGGGAACAGATGTGCCTCCGGCGATACCCGATATGGCCCGAAAGATGAAGAAGGAGTACTTTTCGGGGAGAAAGGAAAGGACGATGCTGATCACACCCAAAGAAAAGAAGCCGTAAGAGAACACCTGCTTGGCAGAGTACAGGTCGGATAGACGACCCCAGAATAGAAGGGAGGCGGCAAAGGTGACGGCGTAGGAGGTGATGACCCATGATTGCTGAGAGAAAGGCACGTCGAGCTCGTCGACAATGGGAGTCATGAATATGTAGAACGCGGCGAGGCACCACTCTGGAATGACATGTCAGTCAACATGCTGTGGCAAAGGGAGATCAAACATACGATCGATAAACAAGGCTAGAGAAAAGACGAGGAGAAGGCTCCATTTTCTGAGCTGGGTCAAGTGTAAGTCTTGGTGCTGCCGAGCATCTTCCTGACAAGAGTGTTGTGAAGGTTCCAATGAGTAGGGGTATGGCGGAGACAGCTTATCATCCGCTACCGCTCGTTGGCTGCCTGAGCCTTCAGTGGGTTGAGAGACGTGCGATGGAGAGGGTGAGCTGGTAGTGGTTGAGGAGGTCATGGCGGTGAGATCTGATTGAGTGCAGCGGACGGACACAGACGGGCTGTCTGGCGCTCAAATGTCGTTGTAGGCGGCATGGTGTTATCTCCTCTTCAATATATCCCTTTTAAAGGTGGAGGCTAAGTGGAGGCTGGGTGAAGACGAAAGAGAGCAGCACCTGTTGCTAGTGCGTCCGGAGGCAGAAAGTGGAGGTAGACGGTGGAGGCCAAGTGGAGGCCAGGCACGGGCTGGTAAACTGATATGCTTATCGGCACTGGCTATGCTCCGCTCGGCTCCTCCTTTTCCACGTACACTCTTCACTTCTGCAAAATCAAGTTGATAGCAGACGTCCACCACCACGCCCAAGTCGAAATCCTCACGGACATGTCCGCCATTACATAACTTCCGTAATTGCCCTTCTCGGAAAGCGCCGCCGGAGAATGCTGAACTTTGACCAAACACAGTTATACTTTCGCTGTCATTCGCCCTGCCATTTTCTCTGCCCCCAGCTGGAACCGACTCACAATTGCCACAAGCGAATCCATTCTGCCTATCTCACTGTGCTGACATTCATGCACAGAGTCGATTGGCTCGCCCCTGACGTCACAATCATCAATTCCAGCTTTCATCATCCTACTCAACTTTATCGCGTCTCTGACCTCTTTACAGCCGGTTCGTCATCACCATGTATGCTGCCCACAGTATCAGAAATAGCAGTAATGCACGCCAGGAGACTCTGCAAATTCCTCATCCTTCTATCATCAACACACCGACTTGGAATCACTGCAGCACCCCTACCCCAGTTACGCTCCTCGGATGGCCGTCTACTGATAGCCAGTCTCGTCAGCAACTTAGAGCCCGCCACACATCATGGCACTCCCAGCGCCTGTCGGCTACCTATACTGGTACACGACCTCCATCGTCCTCTTCATCCTCACCCTCTACAATGTGCTTTACAAGCTCTTTCACCTCGCTCGGTCTAGAGGCTTCATCAGTACCGCTTCCTCCCATGACAGTCGCATAGGGAGAGTCTGGAGAACGGGGCGGGCTCTTGTAGACAAGCATGTCTTGCTGGCCGGGATACGAAGACCGCCCTTGAAGTTTTGGAAGAAACGGCCGTCAAAGTGGCAGATCATGCCGAGCACGGAAGTTTGGTGGCGGGTGGGGCACAGCGTAGGCTTTCTCGTTCTCGCATTCTACGGAAGTGAGTCATCGTTCTCAAAGCTGGCAACGCACTACTTACCACTTCTACAGCCGGATGGGATAGACATACGTATGCAAACCAAGCGGCGTGGCTGGCAGTCGCCCAGATCCCTCTGATCATTGCACTCGCTGGCAAAAACAACTTGATATCATGTACGTTCCAGATACGATTTTTAGCTACAGCTGACAGTGACAGTCCTGACTGGTATACCGTACGACAAACTGAATTATATCCACCGAGCTGCCGGGAACCTCTGCCTCTTAGGCGTGTGGATACACGCTGGCGGACACTGGTCGCTCTCTCACGGGTGGAGCAAAGCGTCTTGGTCAAGCACCCTTGCTCACTGGGTGCGTCTTATCATGATCGCCACATATCACGATCCAGCTAATAGTTGTGATCAGGGGTTCACCGGAATCTTTTCCCTTACTCTTCTATCTCTCATTTCCATCCAGCCATTTCGACGATACGTCTACGAGTTTTTCCTTGCTCTGCATATTGCGCTGGTGGCGCTCATGCTGGCAGCTTTCGTCATGCACTGGAAGGCGATGAATGTCTGGATATATGTGAGTAGCTGGATACTACTTGGCAGCGGCACACTGACGACCAAGACAGCCTGGTGTTGGCTTGTGGGCAGCAGACAGGATCTTCCGCTTGTTGCGCATCGTCTACTACAACCATATCTACCCGTCAAAAGCCATCCTACCACCTGAAGAGCCCTCCTCTCCATTCTCCCCCATGACTTCCTCCAACTTTAAGACCCACACCACCGCCCAGATCACCCTCCTCACTCCCTCAACTCTCCTCCTCACCATCCCTCGCCCGTCTCCTCGACTGTCCTGGGACGCAGGCCAGCATTTCTACATTTCCATCCCTGGTGTCTCTCGCTGGCCTTGGGAGGGACATCCCTTCACTGCTGCCTCTGTTCCGGGGATGATGGAGGAAGATGGGGCCGAGAATGATCAGTTGGCGTTTATCGTCCGGGTCAGAGATGGTTTCACAAAGAGGCTTTTGCGATATGCCGAAGAGAATCTGCCTGGAGGAGGGTACGGTAGGAAGGGGATGGAAAAGCAGGCTGTGGATGTGAGGGCTGCTGTAGAGGGACCGTATGGGCCGAGGATCGAGGTGAAAGAGTATGATGGGGTGTTGATCTTTGCTGGTGAGTGCGCGAGTGTCGACGTGAATGTTAACTGATTAGCGACAGGCGGATCTGGGATTAGTTTTGGCGTGGCGACGTTGCTCCAGATCATTCGAGATGCGAAAAAGGGAAAGGGCAGAGTGAAACATGTCACTATTGTCTGGATGGTCACATCGCGGTGTGAGTCAATAGCGCCCATTCAATCACCCATCACTGACCTCTGCGATAGTACACTTGGACTGGATCACACCGCTTCTCTCACCACATCTCAAAAATCTCCCACCATCGCTCAACGTAACTCTCAAAATCCACATCACCCGCCCTCCCATCCCCCTCTCCTCCCCCTGCCCATCCGCTCTCCCTCCTCCAGCTCTACTCACATCAACCTTGTCCAACCCGTCCGAACACCTCCGTGCCCAAACCGAGCTCGAAGAATACCTCCACCGCCGAGTACACGAACGGTCAGAAAAGCACCGACGGAAGAGCCGGTGGAGTGTGTTTAGCTGGGCTAGTTGGGGCCCTCGGATGGGCCGGGACAGTGCTAGGAGTGGAGTGATTACCAGAAGAGGGAATCATGCGGAGATTGCCAGCGGGGCAGTACGCAAAGAGAGTGTTTCGGAACCGACGACGGGGTCTCTGACAAGATTGACCTCTCGCCGCTCATCGCACGGCGAAATCCATCATCCACCCCCCACAAAATTTGCGTGGTCAGAGCATTATACGAGCGATCGTATGCCCAACGCCCAGTATATCAGCCCCTCCCAATCAGACCATTCTGGTTCGCCCTCGGCCACTCCGATAAGAAGGTTGTCGACTGCCCTGATGCCGCCGGTGATGGAAGGTGTCGAGCTGGTATTGTCGGAAGCGGTGTCTCTTCCTGGGATCGAGGAGGACCCGGGAAAGGGGACAGCCGGTGCACGGTCCTCGTCGCCCACCTCTGGCGACTTTACAGAAGAGGGCGATCTGGCTACACGTCCTCGTACTCTCTCGCCACCCCCCTTCCCCGAACGCCGTAGACACGTCTCCATCTCTGACGCCCCGCCTCTTATCTCTCCCTCTCCACGCCGGGCATCGTCGGCGTCAGTCAACTTTGATCGTCCCAGGCCTTCCATCCTCCTCACGTCACTCAAGCTGCGTAATCATCATCGCTCGTCCTCTCACGCTCCGGGGCTGTTGCTCGATCCAGAGCTACTGGCGCCGCCCATGAGCAGAAGCTCATCGGCAGAGTCTGTAGACTCTACTACATCTGCTAGCTCCGGTCGGTCTCTGGCGAGTTTCACAGCGCCCGATACTCCGCCGTCCATACCCGACCTCTTGCCGGCTCTCGGATTAGGCCAAGACTCGACCACTGAAGAGAGCAGCCTGGAGAATATCCCAGACAAGAAGGAAGAGGAAGATGCTCAGCGACCATCCACACCCACACTCCTCCTATCGCAGCTCTCGTCAGCGGCCGATACGTCCCCCGAACAAGTCTTGCAAGGTCTCGCGTTTATTGGATCTATCCCAGATCCGCAGAAGAGACGGGAGAGCTTGGAGCAGTGGATCGGCGGGGTGGAAGGGGATCTGAGAATGAAGGCGAATGTGCTTTTGGGGGGGCTTGATGTGGAGGGAGGGGTGGTCAGGTGGAAGACGGGTCGGGCCAACCTGCGGGGAGAGATCAGGGGGATGATGGACATTGTCTCTCTTCCATCGGGGCAAAGGTTTGAAAATAAGGGAGCTTCACCCCAGAAGGACGCGGAGAAGAATCAGCCCGAGTCTGTGGGTGAGCGAGCCAAGATATGGGTTGGCGTTTGCGGGCCGCGCAGTCTGCTGGATTCATCAACGTTGGCGGTGAGAGAGGAGTTGAGCGGGAAGGCTGTGTGGGGTGGTGGGGTGCGGATCGATTTTCATGCGGAGAGCTTTGGGTGGTGAATCATGTATTGTCCGTGATAAGATAACGCAATCCGCGGCAAGTGGAGCTAGGCTGGTCTAGGCTCTTCCATGACGAGGGCAGTACTAGAGTACATGAGTTACAGAGTGTCCGTTATACAACATCAAGCGTTCAGTGCATCTTCTTCCTCCTCCTCCTCTTCTTCCTCTTCCTCTTCCTCCTCCTCGTCTCGCAGCCGCCGCGCCCTGTTGGCCCGTGCCCGCTTACTCGGCCTGTTCTGTTTCGACTTGCCTTCGCGTGCGGGGCGTTTGGCCGAGCGGGATGAGATGTGGAGGGTGATTTCTGTTGATGACTGTTTGCGATCAGCATACCGTGTTGGAGTCATAGAGCCGGCTTACTTTGAGTCGGGTCTTTTGTTCTGGCGCTTCTGCTTCGACGCCCCCTACATCGCGCAACCACTCTTCTTCTTCTTCCCCTTCCTTCTCCTTGCCCACCTCATCGACACAGGCGACAGTGCCAGTCTTGATCTCGTACCACATTCCCTTGTCTCCTTTGGGATATGGTAACAAGTCGAGGAGAGCGTGCAGCAAGAGCAGCGCGTGAGAGATGGCCGGTCCGAGGGCATGGAACGTAAGTGATGTATACCTGTATATGCGGCATCAGCATCCTTCGCTACAGCGTATACCCCACTGACCCTTCGTCCACGACCAGACTCCGGCATTTCCCCATCAACCCTCCCAGCGCCGAGTTGCGCGTGACAAATATGACATTGCGAGGATAGCCCGCTTTGCCCGACTGTGCTGGGCCGGCCCTCGTCTTACTGACGCCCTGGAGGGGCTTGATGGGGCGGGTGTGGCCTGTTGGGCCTGGTGGGAGGGGCGGCTTGGGCGGGGGCAGCTTTGTGGTGGGCATGGCGTGCTGAGTGAGAAAATGTTGAGGAGAGTAGTTGTAATGGGATTAGGAAATAGTTGTAAATAGATTAGGGTTTGTAGTAGCCGCTGTCCCTGGCTGGGATGGTTATCTTTCGGCTTCCGTGCTCGCAATTTCGAATCACCGTCTTTTTCTCTTCTCATTGCCCTCGTTGTAGCATACCCCACAGCCCACAGCGTACGTCCACTGCCCCCCTCCCCTCTCACCCCTCCCCCCTTCCCCCCCGGCCTCGGCCTCCCGCGCCATCGCTTATTAGCCCTGCACCCCTGCTGACACACCCTACTAGCCACCTCGCGATGCCCAACCCGCCACTACCAGACTACGCCCACTGGCGCTCGCCTCAGCCCCAGCAGACACCCCTCCACGACGTGAGTCATCCATTCCCCTTCACCTCCCCAAAAAAGTTGGCGAGAAACGGACACGCTGTCGGCGCTGTACCCGTCATTGTCCTCGCCCTGTCGTCCACCCTGAGTATTCGGCATGTATGCAAGTCAAGCGCTGATCTCGATGCCATACCCTCTGCTCGACCTCCATTTCCTCTATCGCCCACACCCTACATCCTTTCACGACCCATACGCTCATGCTGTACTCGGCCGACTTTTTTTTGGGGGGGTGGCTGCATTGTACAGTCCACTGCGCTTCCCGACCTCTTATCACCAAAGGCCACCGACTCGCCAGCGCTCAGGCCAGGCAAAGAAGAGCTCATGCACCCCGCCTTCCTGCCCCCCTGCGAGCACGGCGCTGACGGGGACATGCATGCTCACGCGTTTGGTGCGTTATTGGCTACTTTTTGAACACCGCGCGCGCAAATAACTCATTTTATGAAATGTCTTAGACCTCCTCTCCCTCTCTGGAGGCCCCCCATCCCAGCCTCGCCGAGCTCATCCGCAGACGACAGCTTCGACACCCCAGGCCATCCCATCGAGCGTGCCGTCGCGCCCCTCTTATCTCTCGGCTACGAAACCGCAGGCGCCCATCCCAGACAAGGCCGGCAAGGAGAATGCCCCCAGACAGCGAAGGATGAGCAGCAGCACAACGGGTGTGCTTGGGAGAGGGAAGCTGGGCTTGACAGGAGCGGGGCAGACAGAAGGCCTCGGGCTGAATGGTGTAGGGAAGGACAGGTGAGTATCCTTTCTTTCTGGGAAGCGTCGTGCTCACGTACTGCAGCCGAGCACCGACGGTGACTGCTCCAGCAGGGGCCGGTCGTAGATCGACTTTGGGGTCTTCACCTGCTCCCCAGCTCTTTGACTTTGCCAGGACTGACCGCCGTCCATCCATGTCCAAGCCGGCGCCGTCTGCCCCTCTCCCCGGCCGCTCGCAGTCGCTGGCTACGTCTGTTCCCACCCGCGCCTCCCTTCGCAGACCGTCCCAGCCTGCCCCGGTTCCTCTGCAGGATGATATCGAGCTCGACATGGAGTTTGACGGGGACGATGACGAGGATGATGGAGAGATTGGCAGCGGGAGGAGTGCAAGTGCTGATATCGACATGGAGGACGACGATGATGGGGCGCTCAAGCCAGAGTATGAAAAGCTCGCTCTCGGGACGGGAAGTGGTGGAGTCAAGGGGAGAAGAAAGGGGATGGTGTTCAAGTGCGAGACGTGCAGTAAAGAGTACAAGCACCCGAGTTGTCTCGTCAAGCACAGATGGGAACACAGTCCTCATTGGAAGGAGCCAACAGCGTTGAGTATGAGCAAACATCAACAAGTGCAAATGCTCGAAGTGAGTTTAGACATCTCTCGGTGAGAACTAAAACTGACGCGAATCAGGCGGCTGCTATCCTTGCCCATCTCGGACCGGCGCAAGACACCGGCCGCTCTCTTCCCTCGGACAAGTCACTCTGGCCTTCCATCCTGTCGCCTGCCGCCGCCAACGAAGCTCTCCCCAGACGCGGTTCCCGCACTGCCCGCGACATTTCTCTCGGCAGATCGCCTTCCATATCCAGCGCTGCACCCCTGACACCATCTTCATTACGCGACAGCACCACTCTCGATACGCTCGTGGAAGTGAAGGACCGGGACGACAGAGAAGGGAGCGACTCGACAACAAGTAGCATGGGTGCGAGCGAGCCGTACATTCCTCGGCGTGGGTCAATCTCTGCCTCCCACCTCTCGCCTCGAGCTGTGCCGAACGGCTTGGGCATCCGATCTCCCCCCACTTCTTCTCCTTATGCTCGTCCAAGGCCTATGGGGCTGAGCAGCGACTCGCGCGCACCCTCATCCCTCTCCTCTTCCATCCCCGGCCCTGCAACCCCACACTCGATTGGCTCGCTGCCCGACATGAATGGCCTCAAATTCGCCTCTTCCCTTTCGTCGTCCCTGACAGTGCCCGCTTCTAGCATGAGCCCTGTCCCGGGACGGAACGTCATGCCAGTCTATATGAAGACGGGCATGGTTGGGGGCGGCATGTTTGGAGTGAGGACGCAGGTGCCGAGCTCCTCTGTGAGAAGTGGAGCTGGTGTTGAGGAAGAAGACGAGGAGGAACCAAGGGAGGATGAAGCTGAAGACTGGGGTGTCAAGGAGAACAAGGAGAGGGAGGGCGAAGACTGGGGTATGGCGTTGGAGATGGAGCTGTGAACGAGGCCTCTGTCGTTTTCTTTTTTCTTTCTCTGTCACATCTTTCTGTTTCTCCTTTGGTCACATTCTCTCCCAAGTCAGTCATCATCTGACCTTTGGATGGTTGTACATAACACATCTATATAAGAGATTCATTTGTCATTTCCCCCTCCTGTTTGTTTCCCATATGTCTATCTCCCCTTGTTGGGCTTTTATCTGTGTTTTATTCTGCTATTCTCGTTCTCAACATTTAGCTTCTATGAGCGTGTTTTTCCGAGTTTTTGTTTCACCTGGGGTTTACAGCTTCCTTATCAGCAGTTATCAGCATAGGCATGAATCAAGTGTTTCAATGTTACATCCGTGAGAACCATCTGAAATGTTGTGACCGTGCCTGCGGCCTTCACCGCCCATATCCGACGGCCTTCCGTTTTTCGGTGATCGATGACAACCATCCCTGCCCTCATAGGACCGCTGCATCTCTGTTCATCTCTCGTCATCACCATGTCCCGCCCATTCGCCCGCCTCTTTTCAAGCTCATCCCGCTCCTCCGCTCTCCTGAGCACCACCTCCTGCTCCACCTCCTCAGCCAAACCGGCACCTTCATTGCCGGCGATCCGATACCACATCTTCCAGGAGCCCCTGCCGTACCCGGTCGGCCTCAAGCTTCAGAATGATATCATTGACGTGCGGCTAAAGGCGAAGAAGAAGGATCCGGTGGGTAGTAAAGGTCTGGGAGATGTCTTGCTGTTGCTGGGTGCGTATACAGCTCGTCAGCGTTGCGTTGCTGACAAGAGGCTTGGTTCATGACGCAGAACATACCCCTACGTACACCACTGGAAGGCGTGACAATTCTCCAAACCCTAACGAACTACACCCAGAGGAAAAGAAGGTGCAGAATGTTGGAGCAAGCTTCTTCATCACAAAGAGAGGTGGCCAAGTGACTTATCATGGTCCGGGTCAACTGGTTGGGTATTCGATTATGGATTTGAACGTCATGGAAGTGAGTCATTCACATACTCACACCTTGGTCAGTGCTCATAGCTGTAGACTCCCACACGGTGTTACGTGGAATATCTGCAAGCAATGCTCGGCGATTACGTCCGTGATGCTTCTCGTCTGGACGACATTTACGCGCCTCATCCTGATGGACACGTCGGCGTGTTTTCTTCGCCCACAGAAAAGGTATGACCTTCATGTCACTTGATGTGATCACAGCTAATATGACTCAGATTGCATCTATAGGCATCCACCTCCGCCATCGCATAACCTCTCACGGTTTCTCCCTCAACGTCACTTCAGAGCCCATCTCCTGGTTCGACCTCGTCGTCGCTTGTGGCCTCGATGACGTCCGCGCAACATCTTTACACGAACTCATCAAACGCGCTCCCCTATCCGAGGGCAACATCCCGGCATGTCTGCCTAGTGTGCAAGGAGCGGCAAAGAAGATCGTGCCGAGGTTTGCAGAGATGTTTGGGAGGGATGTGGAAGTGCTCGGTAGGGAAGGAGAAGAAGGAGAGGCGGGGAAGATTTGGGAGCTTGTCAAAGAGGCGGAGCAGCATGCGAGGGAAGAGAATGCCAAGAATGGCGGGTGGGCTTCGGAGCCTGACTTGAATAAAAGATGATAGAGAGCCCCCTTATATCGTCGTATAGCTGTCATCATGAACAATCACGTAGCACGAAGACTTTGATATCTTCCTATCTGCAGCAGGGTATCATGATGCATGAAATGAGGAACCTCGAGAATGAACCCAGTAATGAAAAGGAAAACGGAAAATGTATTGATACAAGTCATGTGTATTTCTTAGGCCGGTCTCCCCCTCAATCAACATCACTATTCCGTGGTGTGCCTCTAGCACTCCTGGAATCGTTCTCGATCTCCTCCGACGGATGGCCTCTCGACTCTGATTGTTCGCCCTCCTTACCCGGCGATCCCGACCCAGATCGTGTCGAATTATTCAACGCTTGGTTTCTGAAGAGGTTCTTGTACTGTGCCAGCTGAGCGTCTAGCGGCGCGCTTCGGTCAACGTTGAGCGCCAGACTGGAGGGCCTCGGGCCGACAGATCTGCGAGACATGGTAGGAAGAGGTTTGAGAGAAGCGGGCATCGACTCTGGACGGGCTGGAGATCGTGGTGATGATGGACCTTCACGGATGGGAGCTACCACAGATTAGAGTTATATCTATACGCTTGCTCGCAAGGCGACTTACAAGGGTTCTCGTTGTTCTTGCGCAACTCCAACATTCTTCTGACATATGTTTGGAAGGTAGGTGTCATATGAGCAGCCAGAGCAGCGTTGATTTCGCCCTCCTTGTCGGGGTTGGCTTTTGTGAACGCATACAAGGCGTCCAGACGCTACAATGTCCTGTCAGTTTTGGAGTGTATCGTCGCCGACGGCTACTCACCTGAGTCTGGTTACCACTTCTCAGGTCCTTGATCATTTTTTCAATCTTCGTGTCCTCCTTGGCTTCTGGAGCAGGGGCAGGAGGTTCGACATCACCCGTTGTCTGATGAGAAGCGGAAGATCCGGGGCCTTCGGATCCTGTGTGGGACGGTAACAAAGGGCTCCGCGACCGTGAAGGGTCTGGCCGTGAGGGCTCGTGTCCGGCTAGACAGGCGTCAATATCGTTCGCTTCAACGTATCGTGGGCATACCGAGTCTAAAAACATAAGTATAAACAATGGTCGACGCGGCGTCATCTCCGAATTGTTCCACGAGGATGTCGTAGATTTCCAGCCCCGCATCTCGAGTGTAAACTACGTTGAAAGTCAGTAAGGAGACGGGAGTTCAGACCTTCGATACGCACCTAGTAATCTCTGGATGATAGTCTTGACCGTTCTCAGCGGCATGTCTCCCAACGCAACGCCTTGCTGAGCCCGCTTTCTGTACTCCTTCGGCCCCACACCTTGCATGAACTCTTCTAGAACGGCCAAGATCGGACCAGGCCTCAATCTTCCAGATTTGAAATCGTCTTCCAATATTTTGCACCTCTTCCAAAGACACTTGATGACCAGATCGGCGTGCGCCGCAAGCTCGGACTCTGGATCCGGTTGCGTGGATGAAAAGGTGTGAGTCAGGTCGAGGAGGAGACGGAACATGACTTGGAAGACCAACAGTCGATCGGGGGTTGAGAGGCACTGTACGAGCACAAGATTGATGAAACGAGAAAGCTCCTGAATCTGACCACCCATCCGATCAGCTTGGACAAGCCTGAGGGATAAGCAGTTCAGAACCGCGTAGAGCTGCTCGTAGTTTACACGGCGCATCAGGTCTTGATTGGAAGACAGCCCAGAGAACGTTTGGATGAGATGTTTCACCACTCGGAAGTACCGGGGGTCCCTGAGATTCTCGGGGGGCGTGAATGCAAACTCCATCTCATCCATCAAAGTGTCGGCAAGAGTCTCAATGTTGTCCACAAACATGTTGGGGTTCTGGTTGAGCAGACTTTGTATATTCTTGAGAGCGTCAACACACTTGTCAAGGTCATCGTGTCGGATCTCATTGATTGCCTCCAGCACACTCGATCCGGAATGTCCATTTCTTGGCTTGCTGGCAGCAGGGCGGCTGAGAGGCTGGAGAGCCGTAGGGCGAGAAGGAGCAGGTGCAGTCGGAGCTGCGCTACTTCCAAATACATCCCCCGGGCGCTGTAGCTTGCCTTGTGACGGCAGGGCGGCTGGCCGATGCAGCGCTGAGGGAGCTTGAAGCGAGCGGCCTTGAGAAGGCGAGTCTGTCGTCCTCGGTAAATTTGACGTAGGAGACGCTATAGCTCGAGATGGAGAGCCCTGGGGTCTGGGTGAGCCTTGCGGTCTGGGCGAGCCTTCACCAGAGCTGCCACTGGCAATAGCATTGACTCTCGGCTGTGGCAGACCTCCGGGTCGGCGAAGCCTGGGGGAAGCAGTTTCGGCTGGTGCGAGTGAATCCAAGGAGACCTTCGCGGCGAGCGTCCCAGTAGCCTTGCTGGCAGCCATGGTAGCTTTCCGGTTGGCAAGCATGTCCTTGGAGGACGATGGCATAGCCTGCACCACCGCACTAAGGCTTTTCGACTCTCCTTGTAATTGCAGGAGCCTGTGAAGCTCTAGTTAGCAGATTTCACCGATAATAACAAGATACTAACGCCATAACATTGAGAGCAGCGTTTCGGGTTCCGCTATCCGAGATGCACTTGGCAAGAACCTCATAGAAACCGCGGTCATCTCTTGTTCTCAGGATTGAACCTCGTTTCTTGTATGTCTTCTCGATCAAGGCTAAAGACTCGTTCTTGCACGATTTGCCAGAGGATTTCTCTTCTAGACCAAATTGTACAAGCAAAGCCACTACTTGAGAGGCTGCGATGACCTTGTCGAGACTCTCAAAGATTGGGGCAAGCCTAGCACTGAATTTTGTATCACCAAGCTGTGTGAAGATCAGTCAGCCTTTTCAGCACGAGACAAAACAAGACTCACCTTGAAGACAAGGGCAGGAACAAACAGTTTCGCCTCGGCATCGGAGAAACGCTCGTTCAATCTGGTCATTGTGTCGACCACCTCCTTAACGACCTCCAGACACCTGTTGGACAATTGCGTATTGTTGCCCAGCAGTTTCAGCGCCGAATACTTAAGGGCCAAGTCTACATTCGCAAGCTGCAATGATGTGACCTCCTCGTCGCTCAGACCCATACTACCAGATGTTTGTACATCGTATAGCTCCCGAATCATAGACAGCCCAGACATAAAGTCTTCTTCAGCTCGGTGGTCCTTACTGAACAGCAACGCGAATAATTCGGGTGCTGCGTGGGGTTCAATCTGATGTTGGAGGTACTCCCAAAGATCGGCTGAAGCCTTGGGGGACGGGTCAAGTACCCAGCGCATGCTGTCTTTCTTCAATCTGGCAGCTCGCGCTTCGGTGGCGTATGTCAAGAATGGGACAACTTTGGTCGAAGCTGAGGGCAAAGAGGAAGCAGCGGAAGACGGAGCATGCGAGCTGGCTGACATGGGACGAGGCACTGCCATCCTCGATTTCGGTAGTGCTGATGGTCTATCCTCGCCGTGATGCAGGGAAGAGCCGGGCCTCGAGGAAGGTGCCGATGAGAGGGCTTTCATTGCAAGAGGCCGAGTCAGACCGGATGGTTTTGGCAGGGACGAATGCGCTGCAGGGGCAGGACTGCTGGGCGATGCTCTGCCACTGACACCAGCTCGGACACGAGCTATCGAGCCCGGTGGGGCTGGAGCCGCTTTGGCAGGGGCAGGGGCTGGAGCAGCAGCGGGAGCAGAAGGCTTGGATGGAGCCGGTGCGCTGCCACGGGCGTTACTGATAAGGGGTACAATGGTAGCTTTGGATGCGGGTTTTAGACTTGAAGTCTTGTCCATG